ACAGTGCAGGCTCAATTATAATATATATATATATATATATATATATATATATATACAGTGTGTATTAAAACGAATAGATACACTTAAATAAAACAAGTGTCAAACCCCGCCCACTGTGGTAGGGATTGAATCCGTTTGCTTGCCGTATCATTTTCGTATATCATATGATCTTATGTTCTGTGATCTGTGCGTCAGTTTAGAAGTGCACTGAGACTTTGCGTACGTCTTTGTAAGAATAAAAAAGTATTTTCTCAAATAAAATGGTTTTTACCCGTGAGGAAAAATACCAAATTATGGTATGGCATCACACTGGTAGATCGTATCGCCAAATACAAACTTTATTTCAAAATATGTTTCAAAATAGGCCTTTACCCAGTGTAGCTACAATCCGGCTGCATGCCGCGCTGTTGCCATATGCTATTATTGTTTCCTAAAAGGGTTGTTTTTCTTGTTTTTTAATATTAAAAGTAAGAAAATTAAATAAATCAAATTATTTTTGACATATTATTAATTTTTTTGTTATTTTTAAAGTTTCAAACAAATAAAATTAAACTATTTATTAAATAATTATAATCATTCTCTTCTAATTTAAAACAACCTGGCAATTATGGTTCGTAATTACGAATGGCTTGGTTTAAACCACGCCCAATTAAAGTTTGTTTCTTTTTCTCTGATCAGAATATAATTTGTCATCCTTGTCTCCAGCCTTACTTACTTGATTATATACAGTCTGTATATATATATATATAAATATATAATATATATATATATATATATATATATATAATATATATATCAATATTATAATTAAAAAACTTGCCCACTGTGCGTCTTATTCAGATGAAATTCGAGTTACCAAATCTGTCTTTTATTTGCATGCCTTGCAAAACCGCCAGATTCCTCTCTTTTCATACAATTTTAATGTGTTGCCAAATCCGATGTGTCTCAAATTTACATAAAATGTTATAACTCGGCGGCTGGTTGTGCATTCGCACATTATTTCGTATTCTCTTTGCGATCTGTTTGTTCTTAACTTATCTGCGCTTCAAGAAAGTGGGTCACGATTCCAAACGTGATTTCTTTGGTTCAAAAGGGCGCCAGAAATTGAGATCCTCATTGCAATTTACATTTTTACATTAACCCGCATATATTTAGGATTTTAAAATGAAAATTAACTGATTTACAAAAAAAATCGCTTACGCAGAATAATAATAAGTTTTGCTCAGTACGAGGTGTGTTCAGAAAATATCGGGAATTTTCGTTTTTTGAAACAAATATTTATTTATTCGTCTACATTAATGTTGTCGCCTTCAAAATAGTCCCCATTGGATATTATGCACATGTGCCAGCTTTTCTTCCAATACTCGAAACACTTTTAAAACTCGATCTTTGGGATAGCCTTTAGTTCTTTCAGCGATGCGCTTTTAATGTCATCTATGCTTGCAAAATGACGGCCCTTTAGGGTTCTCTTTATTTTTGGGAATAGGATAAAGTCAGACAGAGGCATGTCTGGAGAATATGGAGGCTGGGGCATCATTACAGTATTGTTTTTGGCCAAAAATTTTGTTCAAAATTTAACCATTTTAGAACAAATTTTGCTGCCACGCACAGAAATTTCATGGGATGAGTCAATCGATATACCAACATTATCAGCGACTTCTCTGATAGTTTACAACCATTTTTTCCACTTTTTCCATGTTTTTATCGGTTGTTAATGTGCTTGTCCGTTCGGGGCGTTCGTCATCTTCAACGTCTTCACGGCCATCTTGGAAACTCTTATACCACTTGTAAACTCTTGTTTTACTTATAGCAGACTCACTATAGGCCTTTGTTAACATTTCACAGAATTTTTTTAATTTTTTAAGAAAAATTGGATACAAATTCTTTGATCCATTTCTTTTAACGAACGAAAAATCGCCGAGCTCATAAAACACGTCTAACCTTAGCGGCTGCCACATACAAAGTAAACAGCTAAAGTTTTTATCATACTTCGGGGGCATATATACCAACATAATAAAGAAAACTTTATGACAACCGGACCCTCCGAACCCGCGAAATTTAACAATTTCCGTTATTTTCTGAACAAACCTCGTATAAAGTATATCCCGTCTAGTGGTTAGGATACCTATCTCTAGTTTGACAAAGGTTTTTTATAACTTTATTTTATTTAAATAAAATTAAATGTTACCTCACTTAATCTACATATTTTCTATATGAGTGAACGATTGCGAAGATACTTAATTCATTTAATTGTTCACTATATTAAGTTTTGTAATTGTTAGTTTTACTAGAATTTTCACAATAACAATTAAATGTGTAACTTTTGTCAAGGATTTATTAATAAAAGTATTTAACCATTAACATTTTTTTAGGGTTACTATGTCAATTTAAAATCTTGAAATACCCTAAATTTTCCTAAGGTAAATTTCAAGAGTTTATATTGACTATAAATAAATCAAATATTTAACTACACTCACAGGCAAAATAATCGATCCACACAAATTTTCGATGAATTTCAATCGCAAATAACTTTTTTATTTGATGTCTGACGAATATTAAAGAATATTGTAGATAAATTAATGTACAATCGCTCACAATTTAAAAAATTACTAAAAAATAGACGTACGTTTATAATATACAGGTTTAAACAAAAATATATATATATAATATATATATTTTCCATAAGTTTAAGACACTCTGTAGAGTGAATTGTTCTAAATTAAGTTTTATTTATCAAGTCACATCTATTCTTAACAGTTTCACCTCGATATATTTATTTTTGTGAAAAATATGGATTTAAAAAAAAAAATTGCAATTTCCAATATTTTTCTGTGTGAAGAACCAAGGTTGCTATGGTCCATCCATAGTCTATGGAGAATGACAGTGACCCTGCATACTTTGACATGTCATACACGGCTTTCAAAAGCTATCAAATTGTTTTTTGCAAACTAATGTTTAAATTTTGAGGTGTCTTCTTACTTTAAAAAATGGATATGTCTCCGACTGATGTTGCCAGAGCCATTAATTTAATCCAGGATGGACGGTCACAGTATTACGTGGCAAGTGTTTTAAACGTCACAACATCAGTCGGAGACATTTTTAAAAGTAACACATTAATTCACAAAAAACAATTTGATAGCTTTTGAAAGCTGTATATGACAAGTATGGGATGATTCAACAAAACTGTCACTGTCATCCTCCATAGGCTATGGATGGACCATAGCAACCTTAGTTCGTCATACAGGAAAAATATTGGAAATTGCAATGTTTTTTTTTAATTCCATATTTTAAAATAAATATATCAAGGTGAACCAAAAACAAAACTGTTAAAAATAGATCTGACTTGATAATTAAAACTTACTGTAATTTAGAACGATATACGGTTTTGCCACTCTACAGAGTGTCTTATGGTAAAAAACATCTTTTTGTTTAAACCTGTATATTATAAACGCACGTGTATTTTTTAGTAATTTTTAAAATGTGCGATTCTCCATTAATGTATCTACAATATTCTTTAATATTTGTTTAAATCCGAAATCAAATAAAAAAGTAATTTGCCATTGAAATTCATCGAAAATTTGATTATTTTGCCTGTGAGTGTAGTTAGTAATATTACTTATAAGTTAAAAAGTAGGTTATTTTAGAATTTGCATAACGTTATATTAACTTCTAATTATAACCTTTGAAAATGGTTAACTTATTTTCATGCTAAAATGCACTTGTACCATATTGCTTCTTATAAGGGGTATACCCCTTCATATGGTTTCCCACATAATCCACTGGCTGGGAAACTCCGCTCTAAAATATTTTACATATTTGTTAACCAAAATCGAACAAAAACCTTCACCGATACAGATCAGAACAACGAAAGCAAACTTCATAACGATCAAGATTTGTATCTATAAATCTGAATTTTGAGACAACTCGACTTTCTGATATTTGTTTCGAGTTGTGCCGCCCCCTCTGCCCCCCGTGCGACGCCAACGTTGCGTTTTGCCGTGGCTATCGATTCGACGGCGGCACAAACGCCTGACCCAGAGGCCTTCCTTTTCCGCGATCATCGAATTGCCCAACCGCTCCCCACGTCCCACAAAAGTGAACAAAAATGTAGATATCGATTTTTACTTCTGCTGCTTCCAATAATAGTTATTTATGTCATTAGGTTAAGAAGTAAGGCTTTTTGTGCTAAGCTCAAGGTTTGAAGGCCTACAATTGAGCGAAGCACAAAAAGGCACTTCTTGGCCGAATGGCATACAACATTTTATCTTCAAAGCACTTTATATAGGTCAATTTAATTCAACATCAAAGCGGCCTAACCTCACTTTATTAGAATCTCATTTATTTATTAGCTAAAGATTACATTAAATGTACAATAATTATTGCTTTTAGAAGCAGTAATAGTTTGACAATACCTGGCAACATGATGTAAGTAAAAATGGATTTTTGCTATTACATTGAATTCAATTAATTGTTTAATAAATAGGTAGGTATCTAATTTTAATTTGTTTGGATTTTTATTTAAAAAATAGATAGTTTGGAATGTTTAAGTTGTGTTTAACATTTAATTTCACTGAAAACTTAAAGCAAATTAAAACTTAAAGATAATTTAAATCGTAGAAAAAGAATCGTGCGTTTTCTTGGTTGCCTAACCTCACTTTTTGTTTTATTATTCATATTTAATTTTACAATAATTTAATGAAAAATATTAAACATTAACATTAAACAAACAAATTAGTGCTTATTATAAATAAATTAAACCAGTTTAGTAAGTTAATTTCATAGAAAAAGGATTAATTTGTCAAAACAATACCCCTAGCGAGAACTAATTACTTGCCTCATAAAATTTTTTATCGGCCTGGGCCATAACAAGGTATTTCTTTATCGAATGTTGACAACAATAAAGTTTAAATTATAGACCGAGTGGAGATAAAATGATTTTATAATCTTGAAACGTACCCGTCCACGTATAAGTATAACTAAAATTGTTTTTGTTTTTTCAGTTAAATCTGCGACTGATTCTTGTCAGTGGAAAAACTAAAGAGTTCCTGTTTAGTCCTAGCGCCTCTGCCGGTGATATAGCTCAACATGTTTTCGACAATTGGCCAGAAGGTAATTAATTAATTAATTAAATGAAAGCATTTTTGTTAATTTTAATTTTTAATTTACAGTAAATAAAAGACAATAAATTACGTTTGAACTCAGGTCAAACACCTGAAAGGCTCCCGTTTATTTTTATATAAATATCGCTCATAAAACCTATAAAATGAGGGATTATGGGAGAGAGTTAAACGTATAAAAAAATTTAAAATTTATAACAAACAATAATATTTATTTGGATAAAGCAACAACAGTAACCGTAACCCAAACGACATTTAACTTAATTTTCTGAAAGAGAACTCTGAAAGAAATGGACATCCTACAAACCCTTAAAACCACACAATAAATATCTCTTTACTGCGATAAATATCTCTTTACTGCGATCACAACCCATAATATTATTAAATGAATATGTAAATACCATTTGATACATCATCCTAGAGCTTAATTGTCGTACGTGTTCCTCGTTTTTATTTTTAGTTTGTTTCTTCTTTGTTTGTTTGGTGAAAGTAGATTGAGTCTTAGTCTCTATTTTTGTATTTTAAATCCGTCAAGTATTCCATCTGCATTAGGCCTCCATCATCTATGGCACGCCGTTTTAACATTTATTAAATATTTTTTAAATTTAAAATTTTGTTGTTTTTTTTGTATAATTTGGTAAAGTTAAATTTTTTAGTATTTAAAAATAGTATATGTAGGATATTAATTGATATCAAGCTATTTGAAATAAAAACACATATAAAACATTTTCTACCAAAATAGTTTAAAAAGTTAAATTTTTGTAAACTCAAAACTATTGATAATCAAAAAATATTTTAAATATAAAATGCAACTGTAAAAGTTTAAGTTTAAAATTATTAATTTTTAAAAAATGGAATTTTAATTTTAAAAAAATTTTAACTTTTAAAGTGGTAATTTTTGCATTAAAAATTTATCGACTATCATTTAAATAACTCTTTACAAATTTAAACCAATAACTTTTATTTTTAACAATTTTAAATTGATACATTTTTAAGACAAAATTTATAACTTTACATTTAAATGTAAGTTGATTATTTTTAAATTACAAAGTGTAAACGTAGCTTTAGTACAAGGCACAAGATCGGAGCCACGCTGCAGCCAGTTTGATCCGCAGTGTTGCCAAATCGTGCTTGCTTCATAAATATTTGACGCGTTTTACAAATTATCGTAATGAAATATTTCTTTATTACATAAATTTAATAATAGAACAAAAACATTTTAGTGCCTATTGTACTAAGTTAATTCGACAATTAAAAAACATCAAAGGATCAAACTGGCTGCATCGTGGCACCGATCCCAGACTCTTGTGCCTTCTACTAAAGCTACGTTTACACTTTGTAATTTAAAAATTATCAACTTACATTTAAATGTTAAGTTATAAATTTTGTCTTAAAAATATATCACTTTAAAATTGTTAAAAATAAAAAAATTTGGTTTAAATTTGTAAAGAGTCATTTAAATGATAGTCGATAAATTTTTAATCCAAAAATTACTACTTTAAAATTTAAAACTTACATTTAATGTAATGTGAGAATTTTTGTATTAAAAATTTAACAACTATCATTTAAATGACTCTTTAAAAATTTAAACCAATAATTTTGTAGAATAAAATATTACAACCGAAACTTTTAAAACTCAATATTTTTAACCATAAATTTTTACTGTTGCATTTTATATTTAAAATATTTTTTGACTATCAATTGTTTTGAGTTTAAAAAAATTTAACTTTATAAATTTCTGCTAAAACATAATTTAAGTGCTAAACTTTAATCTTTAAACTTTTATCTTATAAATGCCAAAACGGCGCGCCATAATCATCCAAATAAAGTTTTTATAATTATTTACTGTTGAATTTAAGTTTACTGTTACGCAATTTTTCATGCAATATTTATTATAGTTCAGGCATTTTGAACATTAATTGGTTAATGTATTCATTAAAAGCATTTTTAAATAATTTTCATGAAGATACAAAATATTTTTTGGAAATGACATTACTAAATAACATTTTCCTTATGCAGATATATTCCATTTCAACTCTACTGAATACAAAAAAATAAATCAAAAACAGGTGTATTGTATAGTATAGACGAAAATAACTGTTATTTTCACTGACAAATAAGTAAATTAACCTTGAAATTTTTTATTGAGCTCTAACACCCGTATAATCGAAAATCCTTAAATGAAAGGTTAGAACTAATTTGGTGGGTGTATCGAATAATCATTGACACTGAAATTTCGTATTTTTTATTAACTTAACGGTCTAAGGTAAATTTACATTGCATGCATAAATTAATTTCTATACTGGTATATGCAAAAATACCCTATTGTGGGAAAACGAAGTTGGGTCCTCCGTTACTAAAATTTCGGTCACGAAATCCAATATTGAAGTAATGAGTCATAAATTAAGCGACATAACCTTGCGGCCGACCTGAAAACAACCCCCATAATTTATCTCGTAGAACGTTTACAAAATAAAGTGGACAATTTCAGTACCTGCTGTAGTTTTTTAATTAATATTAAAGTCAATATTTTCTTGTTTAGCGTACCAACCAACCAAGCCACATTCATCAATCCGAATTGAATGGGGGTATTGAAAAACTAACATAATTCACTTTTTTACATAATTCTTTTTTTTACCACAAAACGCTTCTATAGAAGCCTTTCGTGGTAAAAAGTGAAACGAGCGATTTATTTATAAAAGACAAGATAATTTTTTAGAAATATATTTATAGACAATATACACGGAGAGAAATGTATAGTAAATTTTAGATAGTAAACAAAATATAGTAAAATTGACTTTAACAAATTTTTAGGGTAAGTAACAATATCAATACACTATTAAGATTATAATACAAAATACTATTTTTTATTATACAATTTTAGTAAAGATTACAACACCAATATTACTAAATCATAAATGTATAATAGGTATATATTTTAATTTTTAATATGTTCGTATAGTAAATTGATTTTACTATCTACAAATGGTAATGTTTACTATATGTCATAGTATATGATTTAATCAAATGTATTAATAAAAAACATAGTAAAAATAAAGATAATTTTATGTTTAAGGTAAATAAACAATATATTTAAATATAATATACAATATAGTAACTCATGACATTTTAAACATTCAATTTTCAATAAACTTTCTTGACCCATTACTGGTAATACTTATAAGAAAGAATTGAACCTACTTGATTGCATAGTATGTACCGATTGCGGCAGAGGTCACGTCGCGACGCGTCGTCAGACGGTGTGGATCACCTGATGTTCTTACATCTCGCCTCTGTTGGCTTACCAACCATGTAATATAAGCTCAGGTATTTCTTTGTTTTGGGTGTGTTCCACTACTACAAGTTGCTCGACAGTGTTGTGTCGACACTGATGATCCCCAATATAGGTCAAAACACCTGTCTGTCGGTATTTGAAGTTGATGGAACGCACTCAAAACAAAAAACTTTGGCGAGGTGTAGGTTCAATTCTTTCTCATAACATTTTTGTATATTAAAAAGTACAATAAATATGTTACAATTTTTAATTGTTAACATATAAAAATATTCGATTTTAAAATATTTTATATTTAAAATGGCAACATAATATTTTAAAATTTACCATACTTTTTAGTAATGGAAAAAATCTAATTATAATAAGAATTAAAAACAAAATTGGTTGAAAATAATAATATTTTACCTTAAGGTTTAACATACATGGATATTTAAAAATTACTAAATATGCATAGTATCTGGCAATATACAAGATAGTTGTCCCAAATAGTAATATAAATTATAGTAAAGGGTATTATAATTATGGTAATCAGCATTATACTTTTCTCTCCGTGTATAAATAAATATCATTAAATATACTGTGTCATAAGTATTATTTAATGTTATATACATGAGCAACTACTTAGTCATTTTTAGTTTTAAGACAATGACCTAAACTAAAAATGTACCTACATATTTACAACAAGAATCCTTAAAAAGTATAAATGCGATATTTAATTTAACAAATAATACATCCACCAGTATTAAAGCAATTTATATAATAATAATTTTTAATTATTAAGAAAACAACCACAAAAAAACCGCATGGTTCAAACGCTTGTTACTTCTATCGTGGTGGCTAAAACGATTTCGGCTTATTATTATGTTATATATCTTATATAGCACAGTTTAAAAAAAAAGTAGATATTTATAATAAGTTCTTACTCTCCAACTCAGGAATTAAACTAGCTAAACCCCAAAGTTCTGACAAATTCTTGGGTGTTCTGGTCTGCCATTGTATCAACCTCACCGAATTATTAACTATTATTCAAAGTTTTCTTTCTGTGTAACATTTAACAGCCAATTCTTATGTAAAATTGTCTTCTGAATCCGAAAATACCGTCCAAAATTATGAAAGTACAGCAGTTTTTGAGATATAGTCAATTCCATAAAATATGGAAAATTAACCATATCTCAAAAATTGTTCTACTTTTCAAACTTTTGACGACATTTTTGGATTTAAGGAACAATTTTACATGGAAGTTGACTGCCTAATGTTCGGGATACAAATTGCTATTGACGAGAATTATTAGTGGCTGCTTTTCTGCTATGACAAATTCATTTTTAGATACTCTAAACTCAAGTCAATATTTTCTTGTTTAGATTGGCGTGCAGAGGCGGTGTCGAAGGCGGAAATACTTAGACTCATATATCAGGGCCGGTTTCTCCACAGTAACGTAACATTAGATGCTTTAGGACTGCCCTACTGCAAAACGACAGTGATGCATTTGGTGCCGAGGGAGAATCTGCCCGAGCCGAACTCACAAGGTAACAATTAATTGAAAAAATCGTAGTTTGTTAAAAAATGATCTTTTTTTCAGATCAACGACAAAAAAGCAAGGGGGGCAACAGCAGTTGCTGTTCGGCGTCCTGCTGTATTTTGTAAAACCCCACCTGCCCCCCAAACATCACAGTTCTTTCAAAATAATAATAATTTGATATTCTACCGTTTTCCCGATGGACAATTTTTAGTTTAAACTGATGACGTAAATAATAAAAATGAAATACAAAAAAATAAGTGAAAGAAACGTAGACAATGTTTCGGAAAAGTTGTGATAATCATCAGTGTAAAAATACTCGTGTGCCAGACTACTAAAAGAGTGTGTGAATAAAAATCTCGCATCATTGTTATGATTTTTAGTGTATTTATATAGTTATTGTATATGTATATTATTTTATATCCTATGAAAATTGTTTTATTTTAATTAATCACGGAATTTCGTATAGCAGGTAAGATGACTATTGAAAATAAAAATTTTAATGCAAAATTAAAGTTCGTTTTACTTAATGTAGGTGGCGCTTTACTATTATTACTTACGAATACAATTGGCAAGACTGAAGATATGTTGCCAACATCTTAAATGCAAACGTACCAGGTGTTTTTATTATTCATTAAAAAATATGATTTTTTTTTCATGTTTTTTCATGCTACCATGGTTTTTTCATCTTTTTATGATTTTTAAGGGTTTTTCATTTTTGTTCGCATTTTTAATGTTTTTTCAAGGTTTTCATGATAACATGTTTTTTATGATTCATGATTTTAATGTTTTTTTTTGAGGGTTTTTAATCATGAAGAACATGAAGAAACCATTAAAAATACAAACAATCATTAAAAGCATGAAAAATTATTAAAAACATAAAAAATATGTTTTTCATGATTTTTCGTATTTTTAATCTTTTTTTAAGGTTTTCATGATATTTTAATGGTTTTCATGATTTATTTTATTTTTTATGATTTAATGATTTTTTATTTATTTTTTTAAATTTTTAATAATTCTCTATATTTGTCATGTTATTATATGGTTGTTCATGTTTATAATTTTTCAAGAAAAACCATTAAATACATTAATAATAAAAATTCATGTTTTTTAAGATTATTAATGATTTTTTTTGTTTTTAATGGTTTTTCATGATTTTTATGATTATTCATGTTTTATTATTATGAAATCATTAAAACCATTTTTATGCTTTACATGTTTTTTATGATTTAACATGTCTTTCATAATTTATCATTTTCATCATATTTATAATTTTTATTAAAAACATGAGGAATCATAAAAAATCATTAATAACCTTAAAAAACATGAATAAAATTAAGTCATAAAAACATGGTTTATTCAGGTTTTTTATTTTTTTGTATGTTCTTCAAGTTTTTTCATGTTTTTAATGATTTTTAATAAAAAATCATGAAAATCAGGATAAATATAAAAAACCTTGTAATAAGTAATCCTGAAAAACCATATAAAAACACGAAACATCATGAATAACCTTAAAAAAGCATTGCAATCATGACAAAATATGATTTGCTCAGATTTTTCATGTTTTTAATATATTCTCACGTTTTTTTAAATGAAAGATATGATAAATCATAAAAAACATGAAAATATGAAAACGTTGAAAAATCATGAAAAACATGATATGAATAATCATAAAAAACCTAACAAATCTTGAAAGTCCAAGGTTTTACAAAAAAATCCATTGAAATAATAATAATAATAATAATAATAGTAATAAACGTCTTTATTGAGAAAATACAATACAATCTCAAATGGCGAAATTTGACTTGTAACATTTAAAGTTACAACTCATTCTTACATTTAACCATGAATCATTTTATTAAAATCATACTTTATAATGTGAACTATGAAAACACCTTGTACATCTTAAAATATAATTTATGTAATGTAAATAGCCATTTTGTTTAAGAATCTCCTTTTGTCTATAACTTTAATTTTGTATAAAGTCATTCCTAACTAAAATATCATGTTCAGGTATATTTAAATGTTAATGTTTAATATACACAGTGGAACAATTTTTTTTGACTCACACTGTATAAAAGTACAGGTTCCTCATTGTTTTTAATTGTTTTTTAAATAATTTTTAGAGTTTTGTGTTCGACCATATCATTCATAAATTTGATGTAATAAATATATGCCAACGTAAACACCAATATTTTTAGTTGTGTACTTAACCTAACATTTGCATCTTAGGAATTGATTGTTACTTATTTTATATTTTTGTTCTCTTAAAATTATTTAAAAACGTTTTTATTCGTCGATAAATTTCCTGAGCCTGAATGTAGTGTACTTTATTTTTAAGTAACAATTTTTATTTGTATATAATTTATAATCAGAAAATATAATTACAAAATATCATATTGTAAAATAGTAGTCATGAAATATATTTACAATAAATGTTATAAAATATACAAAGTGTTCAAGTTGATTTTAATTTTTTCATGATTTACTAAAATTTTCATTTTTGTTTTCAGTATTTTTATGCTTTAATTTTTTTTTTTTATAGATTTTAAAATATCAAATACTTTACCGAAAAAGTACTACTGGGAGTTACCTAAACATAAAAACAAAAAAATAATTTCGAGCTAATCAAATTGTCCCTCAAAAAAGTTTTTCCATAAACCTAAAAATATTTCTTCAATCCACCCAAGTGAACATATTTTGATTCTGGACAAAAATTACAGGGTCTCCCTTATTAAAAGAAAGATATGATATAACATAATATAGATGTTTATAAGATGTTGTTTCATTGTTCATATATACAAAAAACGCCCTCACATTGCTGGACCAGCTTCGAAAAAGTAGATGTATGTTAAGTGTCAAATCAACATTAAAAATATGCTCTTAATTTAATCTTATTGGATTTTTGACAGTTTATTTGTTTTTACATATTCATTATGTGTTTTTTATTTATAAGTTTTTTAATTAACTTAACATTGCGATAAAATAGGCTTCAAATAATATTTTTCTTTGATAGGAATGGGTATACTCTTTTTGCAGTGTTTGATTATTTATTTTAGAGCACTGTACAATATTGCACCAAAAAGTCTTAAAAGCAACTATTACACCATACTTAGGTGACTGTACAAATGTAAAGTTTTATTATGTAAGTTTAGAGTTGGAAATAAACCTTCAACAGAAACTATATTCGCTGTTTTATTATATTGGTGCTAGGTACATACAAGTATTTTTGTTTTATTTTCTTGCTGCCTTTTATTGTTCCTCTAATATTAAATAACTCTCGTTATTTGCAGTATTTTTAATGTTGACTTGTGCATAAAATTTAGTTTTTTGCAAAGGGTGAATGACTAAATGAAATGTAGAATCTGGACAGATAGTTTGTGTATATTAAGGTATCTAATTGAAAAAGTCTACTAGTCTTGGATAAAATATTACTCATAACTAAAGTTAAAGAACCATAAAATATTATTATTGTCTATGATAATTATTTTAATATGTAAATATGTGCTAGAATATTGTAATTTTATTTCTTAAGTACTGTTTTTTTCTGATTATACATATAGAATATACGAAAAAATTTTTATTATGTGTTTCATTACTTTATATCTACGCCCTAGTTTGAAACACGTAAATCCCATTTGAATTTGACGCCATTAAGGCGGATGTTCTTTGAGGGCGCTGTCAACTGTCAAAAAACAGTTTTCTTTGTAAAATAAGCAAGCAAATATAGGAACAAGTGTAAGTATGCTTAAAACTATGCATTCGGATTTTTATGACTCATTTAAATTTGGCACCGTTAAGGTTTTTTAAATTGACAGCGTCACTCTTTATTTTTTTTTTAATTTATCGTTTTAAAAGTAACTATTTACGTTTTAAAAGTAACTATTTACGCTTTTAATAATTGTGGAATCTAAATAAATTGAAGGTTTCACCAACAGTGTTTTTTTAAAGATTTAACTTAAATTCATTACAAATTTAAAAAAATAAATGGTAGCGCCATCTATAAAAGATTTGCTGAATAGTTATTTGTTTTACAAGTGTTGAAAAGCGACTTTTTCATGCGAGTTTAAGAAAGCTTTTCTCACAAGTGAAACAATGTTTTTTCTACGACCCTTTTATTTTTTATTATATTCAAATACAAAACAAAATAACGTAAAAACGTGTTTGACAGCTGATACTTTCATCTTATTCTTTTAATTTTTAAGGTAGGTATAACCCTATTGTAAATGACCAATAGAAACCAATAAAAAATAAGTAATTGGTTTTAAATGGTTTGAAATGTGTTTTGGCGCTATGAATCACCAATTCATTCCAGTTGAATTCCTATTGGTAATTTCCAATGAAGTCAGCGGCTTGAATTGGGAAATACCAATAGAATCCAATAAAAAATAAGCAATTGGTTTGAAATGTGTTTTGGCGCTATGAATCACCAATTCATTCCAGTTGAATTCCTATTGGTAATTTCCAATGAAGTCAGCGGCTTGAATTGGAAAATACCAATCCATGCCTACGCTTGTCTCTATTGGCTAAATCCAATAGAAATGCACATGGAATGAATTGGTAATTCATAGCACCAAACCCATTCCAACCAATTTAAAGCAATTAATTTTTTGAAATTTGGATTAGAAAATACCTACCAGTTTATTTTTCATTCAAAAATAATTTTAGATCCCAGAAGGATAACCGGGTAAAAACCAGAATTCATTTTTTACAGAAGAGACAAAAAATTTATTGTTACTAAGTAATTTTATTTATTTATTATTTTTTTTGTGATATATGTATGTATTAATACATATAACTTACTATCGCCTAAATCCCTAAATCTTACACAATGTAATGTTACACATATAAACATTTTTTTAATATATATATATATAAGTAATATATATATATATATAAGTAGACTACTAACACTAGGCACTTAACACTGAAATGTAATGTTACACATATAAACATTTTTTTAATATATAAGTAGACTACTAACACTTAACACTGAAATCGACTAATAAAATAAACCGCTAATAAATGGCGTCCAAAGACGTTTTTTCTTTATGATGGCGTCTCAACCTCGTTGATTTTGCGCAGCTACACGAGAGCCCTCTTGCGATATTTGTATTGTATTGGGAATAACCAATTAGCAGATTTTTCGAATCTTACACTGGGAATGCCCAATTGAATTCAATTGGAAATTACCTATAGGTAGCTTTATCCAATCGAAACCAATAAAAACCATTAGAATCCTAACTGGTATTTTCCATCATGTAAAAAACCAGTAAAAACCAATTTCTGTTTTATATCGCGCCCAATTAAATCCAGTAAGTCCAATTCAGACCCATTGATACCAACCAATACTTCAATTGGTTTCTACAGGAATTAATCGGTCATTTACAACAGGGAAGTTATTTAAAATCAATAAACTTACCTTCTCAATTTAAATTAAGACACTAAAATTGAAATTTATTGTACAAACACAATTAATTGTGTTCTAAATGATATTTAGACATACATATACAAATACAATACAAATTTTGAAACGAATGTCAAACGATGCTGTCAATTGCTTTTCACACAGACCTGTCACTTTTCACACAGAAATGTCACTTTACATTCGTGTTTTGCCTTGCCAATGAAAAGATTCATTTTCTAAGCAACGATGCCATTACGAAATGTGACTTTTACATAGTGGTCGTAGAAATTTTTTTTTACATTAGTTCAGCCCCTAGATATCTATGACCGGGGTTATCTCTGAATAGACTACCTACAAAATAAAACATTTTAAAATTTAAGAAAGTACCGCCATCTATTGGAAAAAAGTAGAAATAACTTTAGTTCAGCTATACTTGGATAGTTGACGCTACAAACAGTATTTAACACATCCTTGAAAGTATGTGGTATTTAACATACCACAAGTATTTAAAAAAGCACATACTTCCACAAGTATCTAAAAAAAACACCGCCATCTAATCGTAAAAAGCAGAACTTATGTTCTGTGCTTTAGTTCAACTATACTTGGATAGATGGCGCTTAAAAATTCTGTTAGTAGCGCCATCTATCCAAGTATGGCTGAACTAAACTTAGTTCTGCTTTTTCGAATAGATGACGGTGCTTTAATAAAGTTTAAAATGTTTTAAAAATTAATTATTGTTATTTTTTCGCGTTTTTTTATATATGTTTTTAATAGAATATTTTTTTTTAAATGATTACCTATGTTGGCAATGCTGCCGATAATAAAGGGCGCTACAAACGCTGTCAACTGTCAAATAACTTGTTGACTTGTGAAAATTGAAAAATAGCAATTCACTGCGGCTTAGCAAGTAACTTTGAAAATACACACTTCTCGTTGTAAAATTATCAAGGAAATATGAGTTCGATAGGAACAGGTGTAAGTATGATAGTTAAAGCCTCTCTATTTAGGATATAATCGTTTTTTTTACGACTCTTAACCTTAAATTACAGTACGATCTTTCCGCTTCACAATTCTCCCCCGACGGACGGGTTTTCCAGGTGGAGTACGCCATGAAGGCTGTGGAAAACAGCGGGACAATTATTGGGTTGAAAGCAAAAGATGGGGTTATACTGGCAGCAGAAAAACTGATTCTCTCCAAGTTACACGAAACTGGCACCAACCGCCGGATTTTCAACATCGATACGCACATTGGGATGGTAACTCACCTCTCGGTTGAGTTTTAGACGGTGTTTATAACCTCATTTTGTTTAAGGCTGTATCGGGGTTGATTGCAGATGCCAGACAAATAGTGGAAATAGCTCGCAAGGAAGCAGCGGCTTACAGAACCAAATACGGCACCAAAATCCCCGTCAAATTCCTCAACGACAGAGTCAGCATGTACATTCATGCTTACACTCTTTACAGTGCCATCCGCCCATATGGTTGCAGCGTTATTTTGTCGAGTTTCGATAACGATGAACCCGAGATGTACACCATTGACCCATCAGGCGTCAGCTTTGTAAGTGCAAAAATTATTTGGGTAGTAAGAGTGAAAAAATGCTTTTTTCTCACGTTCTAAACTCTTTTTGGTGTGATAATTTTGAGTCAAAACAAGAATTTCAAAAGCGCGACTTCTCTTCCATGGTTCTAAGGAATGTAGGCAACCCTATTACACGTGAATGTAATACTGGTTGCGTTATGCGTTTTTACGTAATTTGCTGTTATTTCATATGAACTTTGAATTTTTCGGGATAAAAACTATCCCACGTCATTCTCCGGCCCGTAAACTAACTGCATGCAAAAAATCACGTCGATCCGTTGCTCCGCTGCTGCGTAAAAGAACATTTATAATTTAAAATATATGGTAAGGATTTCTATATTTTCTTCAATTTTTATCAAAGTTGGCATTAATTTTTGTCGTAAAAATTGATTATTTTGTTCTGGTAATATTAATAAAACCATTGTTGCTATTTTAATAATAATTTTTATTGTTAAAAATCATTTAATACAGTAAAAATTTGGATGGGGTAATTTTTTTCTTATCCTGTTTATTAAAACGGAGCAAACTAAAAAAAATATTGCAGGTATAAAAATCAATAAATAATAATTACCTACATCTGGTTGATTTACAAAACATGTTGTTAGATATTGCCAAGCCTCTTCACACATATTTTTTCCGACTAAAAATAGTTAATTAAAATTTTTTATTATTTTATTTTTAAAATTAAAATCTTACAGTCTGTCACATTGCAGTCCGTTAAAATTTTCGACCATACTGATGTAAACTCTTTGGGGTAATTTTTTTGAAACTTGTCCAAAGAAAATTTACCGGTTTTTTCATCCACCTGTACAATATAAACACATACACGTATGTATTTTATTATTTAGAAATTTAAATTACTCACCAAACCAAAATAAACGTATTTACACGCTTCGTAACATTTCAAATTCTCATTTTGCGTGTAAACGTTATTTTGGATTTCCTGCTGGATTAATTCTAAAAAAATTTTTTACCAAGAGTTATACTTTTTTTTATTTATACCTTCAGACGCTCCTGTTTTTTGAACGCAATGTTCATGGGCCTTTTGTTTTATTTCTTTAATTTCTTCTTGAATGTCTTTTCCCTATTAAAAAAAATTACTTTGTTTAAGTAATTATTTATATTTAATTTTTATTTCTCCTTACCTTGGAAAAAGTTACATAAAGTAAACACAATAAAAGTAGTACAAGTTTCATTTTAGTGTTGATAGAAAAAGACCAATAGGTAAACTATTTATAGTTTGTATAATTAAATACTAATACATAATTAGAAAGATAAAAATTAACAGTAGGCATTGTCAAATTTCAACCATTCATTAGTTAAATTAAACAAAATTGATAATTTTTAATCAATAACCAAGCACATTTTTAAAATTGGTTGGAAAACTAATTTATATATATATATTTTGTATACTTAGGTACAACTTTGTTATTTGGCATTTTTAGTGGGTCAAAATTGATGCAATGTTTTTTGTTTATCATATCTTCTAAAAACAATATATTTAGGGTTTCCATGGTTGCGCGACCGGAAAAGCAAAACAATCGGCGAAAACCGAAATCGAGAAGTTAAAGCTGGGAAATTACACTTGCAAGGAATTGGTAAAAGAGGCAGCCAAAATGTAAGACACTCTCGAACCCCACAACGCATTCATTTACCGGTTAATTTTTTTTAGTATTTACACGGTTCACGACGAACTTAAAGACAAGAATTTCGAGTTGGAGTTGTCTTGGGTCTGTAAAGACAGCAAAGGCGTGCACGAAAAGGTTCCCGATTCTGTGTACAGCGACGCTGAAAAAGCTGCCAAACAAGCGATGGAAGCCGATTCCGAATCAGATACAGAAGATATGTAATTTTAATGCTTTATTTTTTTTAAGTTATAATAATATCAATAAACATACTTGCTAATTCTTTTTACTTATTTGGTTTTAATAATAATACCTATTTTATGGGTTTTATTCTTTATTTCCTTTTTCACCTACTTAGTATTTTTTAATCACAGGATTTTGGCAGATTGATTAAAAAACGTATTATCTCACTTTGCGGGGCTAAAATTGATATTCAACAGTATTATTTAAAATGGTTTAATAATTTAACCATTTTAAATAAGTGTTATTTGTATTTTGCACACAAATACATTTTTAATTAATAAATATTTAACAGGTTATAAACAGTACTAAAATTAACTTTATTTCTTAATTTTTGTAAAAATTTTCTGGTGAAAATGTCGAAAAAACGTTAATTATTTTTTTTAATTATAGGCCACTCCAATGTTTTTGACAAAACAAGTATTGGAATGGTTTTATGTTTAATAGATCATTTTATAGTGCCATATTGTATTATTTTAAAATGAAAATTTAATTACACTGTGCAACAAAAAAATAGCTGGGTTGAGATTAGGGTTTAACCGAAAAAATTGTGAAAAAAAACTGTTTTTCCTAGGCCTTGAAAAAATTGACTTTTTTGGAAAATATACACATTTTGAAGTAGCAAACAACTTAAAATTAATTAATTAAAAAAATATCCTTTATTGCAGAAAAAAAACAAAACAATTAATTGAATTTAATTGATTTCAGAAAATAAACGTTAAAGTTAAATAAACTGTCGTTTGGGTCCTTTTTACATTTAAAAAATGAATGATTTATAAAATTGAATTACAAAATTTTTATTTTATAAATTAATGTGTCAAATAAAATGATAATTATGTTAATACAGCAACGAATTATTAATCATATTATAGTCGGAAATTTACTTTTTTCTCGATATCCGTGTACATACGGATATTATCCGTAAAACTTTCGAAAATTTTCGTAAAAATTCACTTTTGCATTTTTTTTCGTAATAACGTTTGAATAAAATTAAAAATCAATTTTTCTAAAAAAATTTCAATTTTTTCTGGAATTAACGGTTTTTTCCATCGGCTCAATTTTTCAGGAAATTTTAAAACCCCAGTTGGGACCAGGAAAAATAATTGGAAATAGATTAATATCCGCAAAAACCTATTTATAACTTTTTTAATTTAAAAAATCAGGTAACTTTTCTATTAAAAGAGCAACAACGTTGATTCTTTACTTAAAGCTATTAACATGAAAAATATAAATTTAAAAAAAAAGACAGCGGGTTTCATATTTAATAACTAAAACCTTTCAAAACCAAAAATCTTTATAACTTCGTTATTCCTGGAAATTTTGAAACAAAGTAAGTTTTACATGAAACATAAACATCTACATTGTTGTCCAATTTCTTTATTACTACAGGGTGTCCGGAAAAAGGAGGTCAATCCTTTAACCATATATTCCTTGAGTTAAAACAATAAGACTTTCATAATACCATTTTTCAATTTAGAGCTTCATGTTCGATATACAGGGCGACAAAGTTTGAAATTTAAAACAGATTTTTTTAAATAATTCGAGTAATTAATAAGGTATTAAGTTCAAATTTGGTACACTATTTCAACATAAATAGTTACATCTTTTGAGATTAACAAAACAAAAAACAAATGTCAAATAATCAAAATAGGGGGGGTCCAGTACTCACTGACCCCCCCTATTTTTTAGTACGGGCGCCAGTGACTTCCAAATGGTATTTTTTCAGGTAATCATTTAGTGTTAAACATTTTTTGTCTCCTACAAAAATTTGATGAAATGATTTGTTTTAGAGATAATTTGTAAAGTATTGGTCCTTGATTGATGCCCAGGCGGCTTATGGCAATCTCATAATTTTCAAATGTACTACTGGACCACCCTATTTTGATTATTTGACAATTATTACATCTTTTTAGGACAACAAAACAAAAAACAATTGTCAAATAATCAAAATAGGGTGGTCCAGTACTACATTTGAAAATTATGAGATTGCCATAAGCCGCGTGGGCATCAATCAAGGACCAATACTTTACAAATTATCTCTAAAACAAATCATTTCATCAAAATTTTATAAGAGACAAAAAATGTTCAACACTAAATGATTACCTGAAAAAATACCGTTTGGAAGTCACTGGCGCCCGTACTAAAAAAATAGGGGGGGTCAGTGAGTACTGGACCCCCCCTATTTTGATTATTTGACATTTGTTTTTTGTTTTGTTGATCTCAAAAGATGTAACTATTTATGTTGAAATAGTGTACCAAATTTGAACTTAATACCTTATTAATTACTCGAATTATTAAAAAATATCTGTTTTAAATTTCAAACTTTGTCGCCCTGTATATCGAACATGAAGCTCTAAATTGAAAAATGGTATTATGAAAGTCTTATTGTTTTAACTCAAGGAATATATGGTTAAAGGATTGACCTCCTTTTTCCGGACACCCTGTATATTGTGAGTTGCCCTCACCATCTTTTGTTTTAATAGTGGCCGCCAGGTTTCAGTTTTTTTCAAATTATATGATTTTTAAATTTAATCTTCAAATAAAAAATTACCCATTCAAAGAAGGATACTTGGTGCACCCTGTATACCGTACCTTCATTTGCAAGCTATACATGGGGAAAATACATTGTAGGTGGACCAGACAAGTTGAAGTCAGCGCAAATCGAAAAAGTTCTCAAAAATTATTTGGACGTAATAAAATTTTAATCGCCAGTAAACAAGGTCACCTGTTACGTCGCATGTTAGTCTACTCATCCACTCGTCAAAATAATTTCTGGGAACATTTTCGTTTCGCGACTATATTTTCCCTATGTATAACTTGCAAATGAAGGTACGGTATTATAATAGGTTTTGGCATATAAAAAACCATCATCATTTATTCAAAATTGCAATATTAATTTTATTTTTTGTAATACCACCTTTATGCTGTGGTATTACTGTAACCATTTTTACTGGTACCAACACAGCTATTTATTTTTTTATAGAATACATTTTTATTAGTTACTTAATTAGTGAGAAAATTTATGAAATTTTAATATGTAGTTGGATAAAATATTGATTTGTACAAGAATTAAAACACAATTGGCGATTTAAAATTCCAGACATACAATGTTGCCATATTATGTCTAAAAAATTTTGTGCATAAGATTTTAACTTTTTTAAATATAATTGATTTATTTTTAACACTAGAAGGTCCCCTAAACTTACCATTTTGGTGTTAAATCCAAAGTGCAATATTTTGGCTTAAACATACTTTTCGTTTATATTAATATTAAACTCTTCTTGATATATAATACTGATATTAATACCTTTATTTCTTTAAATGCACAATAATTATGACTTATTTTTTTGTACTATTGTCAATAAAAATTAATTTATACATTTACGTGAGATTAATATAAATAAATAAGAAATATTTATAATTTTAATTTTTTTTTTAAATGAGATTTCATCCTCTAAAAAGGCACATATACACGTTAAAAAAGTGTATTGATATTAAAAAGGTACAATAAGTTCACAGCCTTGATTAAAACTAAATAAAAAGGGTACTTTGCAAATTGTAAAGTAATAAATAAAACAAAATAAAATTATACTAAAATAAGGATAAAATGGTACAAAATAAAAGCAGACATTTTCAATTAGTAAATTCGAGAAATGTGTACTTTCATTTTTATAACATAATCAATGGTCTTATTATACAATAAATAAAAACCCAGTTTAAGTCTAAACCAATTTTTTTTATCTCAAACATACATTCTTCTTATCTTTGGAGATATCTTCTTTCTTCGTTCTTCAGACACATTAAAATTATACATACAAGCAAATTAATAAGTTTTTTGATATATATATAGATTACAAAAATTAACGGAATCTAATTACAATTTTAAACCTACAAAAATGCGCGCAACCGATGCGAAGGTGTGGGAAACGTCGCAAAATTACGCTACCTGCTTTTCCCCAAGCAGGTATTCAGTTTTGAATGTCAAACATTTGAGCTCTCCAAAAATGAATTTTCTCATTTTTATTATTATAAATCATTATTATGACATGCGCTTTACCACACCGCCGAAATCGCATTGCGCACGCTCAGCACACGTTAGATGCACTACGTAACGATTACGACATATATTTAGTTAAAAATGGGTATTTGTTCCGAATCGCGGCTTTTTTGAAAAAATATTTCGGGAAAACTTATCGGAATTTGACATTTTTTTATAATCAAATATCGTCGATCTTCACCTCCTTAACCATAAATTTTTATTGGAAATTTTCGACAATATACTTGTGCTAAATGTCAACAAATTTGGAATCCGTATTATCATTTATTAGATGATAGTGTGAAGATTAAAGTTTAACAAAGTTAATTTTTTTTAAACTCAAAATTATTTTAAATATAAAATACAACTGTAAAACTTTGAGCTTAAAAATATTGATTAAAAAAAAATTTTAGTACAAATATTTCATTCTACAAAATTATCAGGTTTAAATTTGTAAAGTCATTTAAATGTTATTCAATAAATTTTTAATACAATAATTACCACTTTAAAATTAAAATGTATTGTGAAAAAATGTATCGACTTTCATTTAAATGACTCTTTACAAATTTAAACCAAAAACTTTTTTTTTAACAAATTTAATTTGATACATTTTAAACACAAATACACTGCGCGTCAAAATTAACGCATAACACGTAAAAAGATCTAAAACGCCTTTACCAATCTTTAAAAAAATTGTATAAAAACACTTCAACTTATATCTCAGTTTACGTTTATTTCGAGAAAATATTTTTAAAGCCCTTTTATTTCATTAAAAAAACGTTCGAAAAATAAAAAATAGGCTGTTAAAGACCGTATTTTTGTTAGTATACCTTGAAAATTTTGTAAAAATCAAACGAACAGTTACGAAGATACAGCTCTTCAAAGTTGGTTTGATTATTTTGCCGTAAAGTGGTAATTTTTGACGACTGTATTTTCGTTTGATTTGTACAAAATTTTTTATTTACTTGAAAAAAAAGATTCCCTATAAAAGTTTAATTTTGAGCGTTTTTTATTATTAAATAAAAGTGCTTGAAGTTGAAGTATTTTTATATAAAATTTTATAAAGATTGGCGTTTTAGAGTTGGATTTTTTTACTTGTTATGCTTTAATTTTGACGCGCAGTGTTTTTTATTTGTGTCAAAATGTATCAATTTAAATTTGTTAAAAATAAAAGTTATTGGTTTGAATTTGTAAAGTATGAGGCGCCGTTTGGGCCAATATAAAATTAAGTGTTTATATATAAATTTTCATCTTTGATTGAAAATATTGTTGATATATAAAAGGTTTTAATTGTGTGAAATAAATTCGCTTGTGATTGATTTATTTTAAAGCCTCCAAAATATACCGTGTGCAGTGAGGGCGCCACTTCGATGGTCGTAAACATTTTTATCTTTGATTGAAAATATTCCTGATATATAAAAGATTTTAATTATGTGATATAAGTTGGCTTGCAAATGATTTATTTTAAAGCTCCCACAATATACCGTGTGCAGTGAGGACGTCAATTTTTATGTTCGTAAACATTTTTGAAATAATTGTCATTTAACATTGCCCGTTATTTATTTTAATAAACTTAACATTTATTGATACTTTAAAATATTAAAATAACTTCAAAATATTATTATGTTAAGAAAATATTTTAACCTTTGGGTTTTTTATTGCTAAAATTAATAATATTTTACAGCCATTTTAATATTTTAAATTATAAATAAATGTTAAGTTTAATAAAAATAAATAACGGGCAATGTTAAATGACAATTATGTCAAAAATATTTACGAACATCAAAGTGGTGCTCTCACTGCACACGGTATATTGTGGAAACTTTAAAATAAATCATTTACAAGCGAATTTTAATTACAAAATTACAATTATATATCTAGAATATTTTCAATCAAGGATAGAAATTTCCATCCATTAATGTTTACGAACATTGAAGTGGCGCCCTCATTGCACACGGTATATTGCGAAAGCTTTAAAATATATCAATCACAAGTAAACTTAAATCACACAATTGAAATCTTTTATATATCAAGAATATTTTCAATCATAGATAAAAATTTATATATAAATACTTTATTTTATATTGGCCCAAACGGCGCCTCATAGTAAAGAGTCATTTAAATGATAATTGACAACTTTTTAATCCAAAAATAACCACTTTAAAATTGATCAACTATCATTTAAATGACTCTTTACAAATTTAAACCAATAATTTTGTAGAATAAAATATTTTATAAACAATTTTTAAAAACCAATATTTTAAACTTAAACTTTAATATTTAAAATATTTTTTTGATTATCAATTGTTTTGAGATTTAAAAAAATAACTTATTAAACTATTTTGGTAGACACTATTTTTAAATAGTAAAAAACAATTTAATCTAAATATTTTTATAAAATATTCTGACCAAATAAATTATGTATATTTAAATTTTTAGTTATAATTTGAAAGCAATAAAATTGTAAATAAAACAAATTATTTAAAACGGCGTGCCATAGAATCGGCGATATTTGGTGATAAAAAATTGTTAAATAGGAATTTTTGGAAAACTCTTTCGAAAAAGCCGCGATCGGTAGCATTTACCGAAAAAAGAAAAGAACGCGTATTGGGTAATTAATACGCAACGTTCTATTGTTTTTGTTAGTGTCTGGAGCGATGGGTGTCGTCGCGACGCTCCCTGTCGCGTTCGCGGTCGCTCTCGCGTCGCGACTCCCTGTCCCGATAGCGGTCCTCGTAGTAGCGCGACTTCGACGGCGCGTCGCCGGCGGCGTCCGCGTTGTCGGCCGGCGATTTGTTCCTCGACCTCGACACTCTGGAACTGATCGTGTTTATCTCGTTTAGTTTTAACGCCCTAGAAACAGAGGGGCTGGGAGGTTTAGTTTAGTAGAGGCCAACGACCCGGGACCGGCGTCAAGTCGGTTTCATACAGTTGCGAAGTGCGAATCCGCAAGATTTGAAATCTAGGGGCGCAGGCAAACTAATGCAATTGCTTATCATACCTACGCCATTTATGTTTATTTCGTTTATTTTATTTTCTATAATGGACAAAGAGTTTTTTGAGGTACTATGCTCCACACCTCAAAGTCCAACCACGTGACCACGTACGGAACGCAGTCTTTTGAAAATTTGGCATTTAAGGCTTTTCAGGTTATGTATCTGTCAAAGTATAGTCAATGAAAGAAATAATATTTATAGTGTTACCGCTTATGTTTAAGCGTTAAAAGTTAATAAATCTTTATAGTATCACAATAACAATGGTTGGTTTAAGAATTTAGAAATATAAATACTGCATTTAATGAAATTCCAAATTCCATAAAATAGTTTTAACTAAACAGCATTTATTAAAAAAAATCTAACTTCTCTATTATGAAATAAGAATATCTGTATCAAAGGTTGGTCAATGTATTAGAAAAAAAATATCATCTAATTTTGTATTTTAAGGTTAGAAAAATCTATTTTGACCAAAATAAATAAGTGGATTATATGAAAGAGTGTGTTAATATGGTCATAAATACACATAGGTATACTAAATAATTGTTGAATATAGTTCAAATTAAATTGAAGCTTTTATACTTCTAACAACAAAACTTGTGCAAACCTCTCAGCATACTTACTTTAAGTTAGATTATAATAAAACAAACAGTTTTTAGAGAAACTTGCAATGTGAAAATATTTAATACTCCCATGACATGTGATTTATTAAAATTTTTAAAGTTATAATGATTTTTTGATGTAGATCAAATTCAGTCGAAACTTTTTAACTATTTGTATTGACAAAACTTTATGTAGGTACACTTTAAGTTGGATAAGAAAAACTACCACATTTTTAAATACCATATTATACAGTCTTTTAAATAATCCAAAATACTTATTTATTTTGGTCAAAATAAATTTTTCTAACCTTAAAATTACAAAATTACATATTTTTGTTTTCTTATTCCATAATAGAGAAGCTAGATTTTTTTAAATAAATGCTGTTTAGTTAAAATTATTTTATGGAGAAAACCAGATATTTGGACCAAATGCACAAAAATATTACTTATTTGGCACCATACACTTTAGATTTCATTAAATGCAGTATTTATATTCTTAAATTCTTAAACCATCCATTGTTAATCTAATGTTATAAAGATTTATACATTTTTAACGCCTAAACATAATATTATTTCTTTCGTTGACTATACTTTGACAGATACATAACCTGAAAAGCCTTAAATGCCAAATTTTCAAAAGACTGCGTTCCGTACGTGGTCACGAGGTGTGGAGCATAGTACTTATTTTACCTTTAACTTTACTATTTAGGTGAATAAAATAGCATCGCAAGTATCACCTAGTAAGAAAACTGTCTCTAAAATAGTTCGCATCTATATGAAATAAGAGGCGAATATTCGTATTTCGCAATTCGCATCTATATGAAACCAACTTTACCCGATTCTGTAAAAAAAAGGTAAATAATAAACCTTTATAATCTGTGATAGATTTTGTGCGAATTTACCAAGTAACGTCAAATTGTAAAGGTAAATTCGCACAAAATCTATTACAGAATCGGGTAACGCTGTCCGGAACTCAATTAGTTGTTTTTTAAAATTATATTGGGAATCACATTTGGAATCTGTCGCCTAGTGGCGAAATATGTTACTACAATAGGGAAAGTTGACATGCAAACACTGGATACATTTTTGCAACATCGCAAAACTACAGTCATTGGCCAATTTATCAGACCCGTTCACAATTTTTTTTTAGTTTTGGAATTTGTTAATTTCTTCTGATAAAAATGCATTTTTGAATACAAAAGGAATTTTATGAATAAAACACTTTTCAGGACATTTTTAAGGTAAAATTTAAATTAAAAAAATGTTTAGGGTTTTAAAGTGTCGAAAAAAAAAAAGAAAAAAATTGAGGAAAAGCATGTTTTTTCCCAATCCTTCAAAAACTTGTCCTTTTTGAGAAAATATACAAAGTTTAAAGGCGGGTTTATACAACAATTGATAATTTAGTGGACAATTTATTTCATAACTCAATTGTTTATTTAATGCATAATTTAATACATAATACATAACTTTAAAATCTGATTTATACAATTCATTAATATATTTTATTTTTTCAAATGACAATATTGATAGTTAAAGGTTCTAATAACTCATTAAAACTTATGTTTTGTAGGAACTTTGTAGTATTTTTTAAGGCACAAACACAAAACACAATAATTATTAATTATAACCTTAACAAAATGGGGAGAGTTCGATCTTATTTATAATTCATAATTTATTTCATAAAATTTAAATTTTATGAACTTTCAAGGTTATTCAATAAACACTAAATTGTGAGTTACGGATTAAATCGTTGTATAAACTGTTTCATAGCAGATAGTACAATTTAACTTTTATGCTTATGCACTAAATTGTTAATTTTGAAATAAATTAATGATATGAAGTTGTATAAACCCGCCATAATTAAACAACTTCCCATTAATTTAATTTAAAAAAAATAAACTAAAATGAAATTTAAACTGTTATTAAAAAAAAAGAAACTGTAATAAAAATTATGAAAAACAGAATAAAAAATTAAAAAGAGTTTAAAATAAACTAAAATGAACTGTTATTAAAAAAAATAAACTGTAATAAAAATGATGAAAAACAGAATTAAAAAGAGTTTTAAATAAAAAAAACTAAAAATTGTTAGAGGTACTTACTCTTCTTCCGCAGGCCTTTCCCTGTAGTCCCGCTCCCTTTCCCTCTCCGGTCTCTCGCCCCTGCTTCTGGAACGGTCCCTTTCCCTGTCGCCCCTGTCCCCTCTGTCGCCCCTGTCGCGTTCCCTGTAACTGTCGGCGTAGTAACGGTCGCGGTCCCTATCCCTGTCCCTTTCGCGTTCCCTGTCCCTGCTTCTGTCGCGATACCTGCGTCGAGTTTGAAAAAAAAAACACGTCCAGATATATAATTTCGCGCGATTGTAAAAAATTACCTGGAGCTGGACCTGTCCCTCCTTCTCCTGTGCGGCCTGTCCCTGGACCTCGACCTGTCCCTTCTGCCGCCGGAGCTGTAACTTTTCTCTTCGACGCCTCTCAGCGTGTCTTGCAACGAGCTGATGAGAATTTTGCATCGGTCGTCGTTTGCGACCTTCGACTGTTTTATCAGCGATATCGCGGTCACCAGCGTCTCGATCGCGCTCGCGTATTCACCCGCTGCTGCGTCCGAAACGGCCCTAAAGTTGTCAATACATACATATGAGATCTTAAAAATTAACGGTTTTTGGTGATTTTTTGTTGGTATATAACAATAATTATCAAGGACCGGATTTTAGGTAAAATTCCTTTTTGTTTCTATTTTAGGCATTTGTTGGGGACCTTGAAGTTAATCCTAAACTTAAAAATATAAAGCGTTTGACACCCCTTTATTTTTGCCTAAAAGCCTAAAATGGCGAAATTTTGATTTATCGTCCTAAAAGGACATTTTTATGAGCCTAAAAAAGCCTCTTTAATTTTTCAGAAAAAAATATATTTTTTATTGCAATAACTTTGACAACCGTTGGAATCAACGTATCGTGCTTTTGTTTGTATTTGTCCCAGACAAGTTTTGTTTGTTTGTTTGTCTGTGGTATTTGTTTATATTATTTGTTCAGCGTCGGCCTGATTGTTTTTGGTAAGTTTATAGAGATTTAATTAAATAATAGGTATTTCATTTACAAAAACTATTAATATTGCCAACAATTTATTTTAGTAATCCTAGAAATGCCCAAGGCTAAAGCAGGGATAAAGGTTTCAGGGTGGTTGCAGGAGCTGGACAAAAATTTTAGCCAAATCAGTGCGATGACACCGAAATATTTTGAAAAAGTTGTGCCAAGATGGTAAGGTTTTAACATACCTACACAGTAAAAAACTTTTTTTTTATTGAATTAACAAATATAATATAGCAACCTGTACTATACTTACACTGTAAGTTAATATAATTTTACAAAAATGTCACAATTTTATTATTCCAAAATGTTTTTTTTACGTTAACTTATCTCGGAATTAGGGTTTTACTACTTATGATACTGTTGTCGCCCATGTGCGATATGGTATACACAGTAAAAGGTTTTCATTAGTAGTAATGTAATAGTAAATGAATTTAAGATATTTGACTTTTATGTTTATTTATATTGGCGAAAGATTTGCTTTAAATTTTACAAGTAGGTATTTTATTTTCTTTATTCATACGGCAAATATTCATATGGCCCATATGGCAATATTATTTGCTAGAGTTTGTGTTGTTATTTTCATTATGTATTTTATATTAAGAGAGATATATTTGGTGATTTATTTTTATTGAAAGTACCTGAATAAATGTTGTGTTCAATCGTGTTGTTTTTATTTCATATCGCCTATTTTAGGCACTTTCGGCCTAAATCGGCCTAAAATGCAGGTTTTTATTGCCTTTTTATGGGTCGTAATTTTCAATTTTTAACGGCCTAAAATCCGGTCTTTGATAATTATATTAAAACAAACTATAAAGAATCGAATAGGGTGTTTCGAAGTATTTGTGAAAAAAATTGTATGCGAAAATATGCAAAATTGTGGAAAATACGGCCCTTGCCCCGAAACGCCCTTTTGTTCAAGTGTTTGCGGTGAGCATGAAATATCGAAAACCGAGGGTACAAAAATTAAGTTTTCCGGCCGAAAAAAATAGAAATTTTCGCCCAAATGAAAATCCCCGAAGGAGCTATTGTAGTTAGATACAACACTTCCAAATTTCAGATCGATCGGTAAATTGGTTTTTAAGAAATCGTGCTCACGGCAAGAGCACTTTTCAAAAAATACGATTTCGAAATAAACGCGTTTAAAGTTTTAAGTTCATTCAATTTGCTATAACATAAGTTCTAGTGCCCCAATCTTGATACAATTTTGAGTACATATTCTTAAAAGGATATGTTGTAAGAATATTTAATTAAAAAAACATCGATTTTTTGACCTAGCTCAAATGCATGTAAAAATTCTTAAACGCGTTTTATACCCGTGGGAAAATGTCTAAAGTATATTTCTTTTCAAGAAAAAAATAAATAGTTTGATAATTTTTATTATTCCTCGTTGTTTTCTTACCTTTGTATAGCCGACGAGCTGACGGTTCTGTTTCTCGACATGATGTCTTCGAACTCCTGCTCCGACAGTTGCGGCATGTCGCCGCGATGATCCGGCGGCGGGCCGCCGTACGGGGGTTGCATACCCTGCGGCGGGCCGTAGCCGTGCGGCGGCCCGTGAGGCGGCAGACTGTTCATCGGAGGACCGTGAGGCGGACCGTGCGGAGGCGGGCCTTGAGGCGGCATCACTGCGCAGAGAACAAGTTTTTACATTCGGGATTTGCCCCAAAAATGATTTTTTTGCGCACTTTGACTGCAAAACTGAAGTTGCGCGCGCGCAAGTTGGAGAGTGGGGAGAATATTTCTAAATTACCGATGTTTTAAAAATTTAGTTTCTTTTTTAAAATGCAGAAAAAAACAACCTTTTTTGATTTTTCAATCAATGGATTTTTAGTAGTAGTATAAATTTGTAGTTATGTAAAAAAAAAACGATTTTTTTTAATTCTTCACAAAAAAAATATTATTTTTTTAATTAAAAAAAAAACTTTTAATAATTAAAAAAGCGTTCGTTTTTATGTTTTATAAAAAAATAAACAAAACAATAATTATAATTGACAAGTTTTGCCATCTAGAGTGTCTGTTACTAACAGATCGCTTTAATCATAGAAACAGAATATCTTTAATATCGATGCGCTAAAAGTTAATACATATGGAATCGATATTATTATTTATATATTAATTTTCAAAGACACTTATGTATGTTTATTTTAGAAACATGTTTTATTTGGTGTTTTTATTTAAAAACCTCTATTATAAATAAAGATTATTTTAAAAAGTTGGTTATATTTTGTAGAAAAAATATTTTCAGGTACCATATAAACAAGCTTTTCAAAATATATTTATTTTTTACCCATTGCTTTTTATAATGTTTTTTTGCCATTTACTTAAAATATTCTTCAAAGGAGATGGTCGCTTTTGATATTAGACGACTCAAATATTGTATGACGTTGGAACCATGTTTAATACAATTTTTAAAATTTCTTTTTTAAAATACAGAAAAACACTATAATTTTTTTATTTTTCTGTGAAAATCCATTGATGAAAAAATCAAAAAAGATTGTTTTTCTGTATTTTAAAAGGGAAACTGTACATTTTGAAACCATCGGTAATTTGTAGATTTCAGAAAAATTCTATAATGGAACCATATTTATTACAATTTCTTTATTAAACTACAAAAAAACAATTTTTTATTTTCCTGTGAAAATCCATTGATTGTAAAATCAAAAAAGATTGTTTTTCTGTATTTTAAAAGGGAAACTGTACATTTTGAAACCATCGGTAATTTGTAAATTTCAGAAATATTGTTGGAACCATATTTATTACAATTTTTAACTAGCGTCTACGTCCCAACTGCAACTTCGGTGCCCTGGCGCTGTTGCCTTTCAATATGCAATTGTGTGGAAAATTTAAATATCCCGCCATTAAAAATTACAGATTCTTCTAGCCAGAAAATAATATTTTTCTACTACCTTAATGGAAAACTTCATTTTCCACCCCCGAGCGAGGGAGGAAAATGCCTCTTTTCCTCCCCGGGAGGAAAAAATATTTCCTCCCCGGGAGGAAAAAATATTTCCTCCCTCTATTTTTTTAAACAATTTTACATTAGCAAGAGTTTTGTACCTTGTCTAGCCTTATTTGATTTTGTACGAAAAAGATTTACTCCGCGCTTGTTCAACCATTCTTTGTTTAGTTTAGTTTAGTGTTTTAGCAGTGTCAAAGTTACAAAAAAAACACATGACTAGGTACATTCCTTTTTATATCGCTTTTTCGATTTTTGAGGAAGAAGATTAATTTCAACTACTCTTACCTCCAGCAAGATCTTGCGGCAGGTCTTCTTCGCTAAAACTCATTTTTAAAACGTAGGAAGAATTTCAAATTTATGATAACCTGACAGCTTATAAAAACTCAGGGGGGTATAAGGGGAATTTGACAACAGGCAACAGTAAAATAAATCTAGCGTGCGTTGAAACCCAAGTTGTTTTTGACAGACCCCAGTTATTAACCACGTGATTCTTACTTTGTTGTGATTGGTCTTTTCCAACTTGTTCGTTGATGGTCGGTTTGAGAAATTACAAATGGCCGACAGTGTTGTTGAAGTGTTGTGTACGAAGTTTTATAATCCAAATTTTCTTTGTTTTAGGTAAGTAAACTTGTTAATTTCGGCTTTAACATTTTATTAGGTGTTTTTAGTCAAGTTTGAGTTAGTTGTAGCATCATTACCGCGTTTAAAATAAGAAAATAGGTGTGATAAACCGTATCGGTTTTTTTCTCTGTTTACCGAAAACACATGTGACATGTAGTTACGATAAAACAAATAAAATTCTTTGTATGTAATGAAACCTATGGCAAAGAGTAAAGACTCTTACTCTTTGCTTATGGGTTGTTTAACTAATGCAAGTTTTGATAGAATTTAAATAGTTTTAAAGCGTTTTGATTCAAAACTTTCAATCAAAACATTCTTTAACGTTTTTTTTCTCGACACTAGTTGCTGTTATACAAAATGTTAAATATAGGTACCTATAATCTTTGTCAAAATGTATGTTTTTGTTAAAATTATTTGATGTAGCTACGCGAAAACTGGACCTGGGTCCAGGGCCCCACTACACTGGCATTTGGTGAAGCGGAGGTTATTGAACGAACAGCCCCCTCATCGGTGGATCGGACGTAAAGGGCCCAACAATTTGGCACTTCATGTATGGTCAACACGTTCAACCGATCTCACAGTTTGCGACTTCTTTCTCTGGGGCTTTATAAAAGATAACGTTTATGAGCCCCAAGATTTGTAAAAGCTGAATACACGAATTGGAACTGCCGAGTATCTACAAGATGTTTGCAGCTGGAAGAAGTCATATTAAACACTTGTAAGCATACAGTTCAAAACTTGATTATATTACAAATGTTTTGTGCTTTCCATGTTTTTTTTACATAAATATAGCATTTTAAACTACAGGGTGATAATCTTTTACAGTATTTTTATAGTTATTTTATTTGAAGGGGTCAATGCAAGAAGTGTCTTAAGTCATATTTTCAATTAAATTGTTATTCTGGCTTCATCTAAGAGTTTTCACATAAGTTGAAAACCAGGCAAACTCCCATTGAAGTAAATGCAAACTAAGGCGCTTGGGCACATATTTCTGCCACTTTGAAAATACCACCTGAAACCTTACATGAAACACTCTTAGATGAAGCCACAATGTAAATTTAATTGAAAATGTGACTTAGGCACTTAAGTGCAAGAATTCTTGCATTGACCCCTTCATTTGTTCTATCTGAAAGTCTGACATTTTAAATGTACATAAATAACTAGACAATTCATAAGCAAAGCTTTTAAAGAATTATTTTTAAAGTTTTTAATTCAATTATTTTTTGCTACAATTGATTTTTTTTTTAGCTTCTGCGATAATGGAACAATTAGACAAGATTTATCCTGCATGAAGAAAAAGAATCAAAGCTTTACTCGTCAATGCCAAACAGAAATATTTGACCAAATTTTTTTAATAATAGGTAGATATATATTTTTTTATTTAGAATACATTTTTAGTTACAATTGGTGGTGTGTGAATATTTTTACCAAATAAATTATGTAGTAATATTTAATTGAAACTTGAAATAAAATATTTAAACTACATAAATAGTTTGAATTATTTGAATAGTTAAATAATTAATCATAATCTATTCAAATAAGTTAATTAAGGGTTAATGACATGTAAATAACATTCTTTTTATTTAAAAATAAATTTTAAATTACAATTCCAATGTTCCATTTCTTCAATTACTATTGAAAAATTTTAATTTTCTAATTCAACCATTTAAAAATTTGAAACATTCAAACTATTCAAATAATTCTTGAATTCAATATTCACACATCCATAGTTACAATCCAAATATAAAAAAAGTAAAAGCCTGACCATTAAAGAAAGTACACTTTTAGTATTTACTCCAAATATAATTAAATTGTTTATTGTTAAAACAAGCAATCTGACATTTTTATATTACATACACTTCTGCTTTAAATTATTATTTTGAGGCAGAAATATTTTATTTAGCAAGATACACATTATGATATTAAAAAAGGATATTTTCATGTTAAAACAGCACAAGTTCACCATTATTAGTTTTTATAAGATTTTTAAAATAAAAAATAAACAAAATCATATTTAGTTAGTTACTTAGCTTGTTTTTACAATAAACTATTCAATTATTTTTATGCTGGTAAAACAATTACCTTTAGCATAAATAAGTAGCATAAATATTGATGCATTATTTTTATTTAATTTTAAACATTATTAGGTAATATCAATTGTTTTACAATTTAAATTGATTTTAAAATTGATATTGATTTCAGGTTTGGGTTTGTGTTAATGGAAGAAGCAGACAGGACTTGAATTTATCAAACTTCTTTGCAAAAGAACATAGAAAATATTAATTGCAGTTGAATATTCTTCATTGAATCAAGAAAAAGACGCAGGTTCAATCCATGAATCATGAACAAGAAAAAAGACAATTAATACTTAATATTGACCAGAAAGTTAAATCATACATAAAGATTTTAATTTTGCCAAATACATAATTACAATATTTTTAACATTGAGATTTAAGTGGTTCTATTGATTATTAATTTAAATTAAACCAATTTTACTAAAAATTAAATATTCCAAAGAATGTAATTTAATTTTTGGATAAGTAGGAATTCCTTTTTGCCAAAAATTCTATATTTTACAAAACTACAGTATTGTGCTTATTTTAAAAACAAATTATAATCATAATTCCTAAAAATTATAAGAGTATGGTTTGTAATAAGTCTAATTATTGCATTAAACATTTTAGGCATTAGCCTTTTGGTTTATTCCAATAAAGAAATTTAATACTACATTAAGAAATCTGAAAATACCTATAGGTATACAATAAGTCAGTATGTATTACAAAATTATTTATTTTTATGAATTACATAATATTATTCAAATTTAAACTAATTTTAATTATATAATATACTCGAACTGTTTTAAAAGGTGTGTTTTCTAATAAGGACCAATAAGTATTGAACTATTGTTTATCAAGAATTTATCAAATATTTTAATGGCTTGTAATATGTTTTAGAGTTAATTTGTTTATAAACCTTTGCATTTTTATTAAGAAATCTTAAAAAACCTATAAAAATTGTTATTATGTGACACAAAATTAAAATTTCTGAAAATTATCGCTGTAATCAAGCGATAATTGTCTTGTAGGCATATATAAGAGGGTAATTATCAATTTAATGTCATACTTTTTGATAAATTATACCTAAATAATTATAAATTATTATACATGTTTGATAAACCTTTTTTTAAATTTCACTAAAAGTTATAGAATAATTAACTTTGAATTTCTCCTCATTTAAATATTATTTGTTGGTTATAATTTAATTTAAAATTGAATTAAGTGTATATTTTGTTTAATATATTTATAAAAAAAAACAAAAATGTGTGTTTTTCCACTTAATTAGTGGAAAATAACCGAAAATTGTTGAAATTTTATATTTTTTGATTTTTAAAGAACAATATTAACTATATGGTTCTTTAAAAACCCAAAAAAATATAAAATTTTAACAATTTTCGGTTATAATTCCATATTTTAAATAAAAATTCAAAATTCGCGCCGCAGAAATCGTGTGGATATTCCCACCAATGGCTTACATCCACCTCGGATTTCCAAGCCTGCTAGATTTAAAAATCAAACAATGCCTGTTGCCACTTTTCACTACAGCGCTTTTAATTCTCTTATGTTCTGTGTAAAAACTGTTATGTTTGTTTTACCAAAAATACCATAGCAACAAAGCGTTGTCAACACAACGTCGGCGACGCAAAACCTACTTAATATTTTGTCATAATAATAATTAATACCGGATTAGTAAAAATAACCCTTAAAATGTCTTTAAAACCGTTAAAAGGTAATAGAAAAAACCATATACATACCTCAGGAGGAAAATGCGTTTCCTCCCTTGAATATTTAATGCCCTTCGCTTCGCGTCGGGCATCAAACTATTCACGGGAGGAAAAGCATTATTTTCCTCCTATGGTATGTAAATAGCTATTTCCACCCCCGAGCGAGGGAGGAAAATGCCTCTTTTCCTCCCCGGGAGGAAAAAAATTTCCTCCCTCTTTTTTTTTAAATTTTACATTGGCAAGAGTTTTTGTACCTTGTCTAGCCTTATTTGATTTTGTAGGAAAAAGATTTACTCCGCGCTTGTCCAACCATTCTTTTAACATTCTTTTAACAAACTATATTCATATTCACTATTTTTATATTTTTAAGGAAGGAAATTAATTGCAACTATTGAATTTATGATAAACATTATGACAGCTTATAAAAACTGTTATGTTGGTATTACCAAAAATACCATAGCAACAAAGCGTTGTCAACGTAACGTCGGCGACGCAAAACCTACTTAATATTTTGTCATAATTTTATATACCGGGTATGTAAAAGGAACCGGAACGCTTAAAATGTCTTTAAACTGTTAAAAGGTCATAGAAAAAACTATATACATACCTCAGGAGGAAAATGAATTTCCTCCCTTGAATATTTAATGCCCTTCGCTTCGCGTCGGGCATCAAACTATTCGCGGGAGGAAATGCAATATTTTCCTCCCATGGTATGTAAATAGCTATTTTTTGATTTTTTAATCAAAGGATTTTTACAGAAAAATAAAAAAGTGTTTTTTTTTGTAATTTAAAAAAGAACCATTAAAAATTACAGATGCTTCTAGCCAGAAAATAATATTAATTAAAATTAATATAATTAGGAAATTTATTATAATTTAATGATTTATTAAGCATAGACATATATAATATATTATATATATTATATACATAAAAAATAAAATAGATAAATGTTGATATTTTTATTTAATAATTTTAAGTTTTTTTATTAAATTAATTTAACCAAATATTTGGTGGCAGCTTAAACCAATAATTATACCTACTTTTAATTAATTAATTAATTTTGTTTTCATTAAGTAAAACATATTATGTTTCTAAGCTAATCTTTGGTAAAAGTAAAAAATAATACGTAAAAACAACTGAAATACAAATATAAAAATTGGTATGTAGTAATAAAAACTACTAATGTAAAAAATAAGTTTTCTAGTAAGGTAGTAGAAAAAAATTGTTTTTCTGAATTTTAAAAGGGAAACTGTACATTTGTAAATTATCGGTAATTTGAAAATATCGGAAATATTCTATAATTTTGGAACAATGTTTATTAAAATTTTTATAATTGTAATAAACATGGTTCCAACATCTTTCAACATATTATGTCGCCGTTGTTCTCGATTAAAAATTATGCAAAATTGACTTTTTGGTGTAAAATTATCGCAAGGGGCTGAATCGAGTGAGAGTGAAGAACTTACCTGGGCCGGGTCCCTGCATGCCGTGGTGCTGCATGGGCGGCGGCGGGCCGCCCCCCTGCTGGAAGAAGGCGGGATTGACGTGCGGGGCGGGAGGACCCTGCGGCGGGCCCTGCGGCGGCGGCGGACCGCCCATGGGCGGCGGTCCGCGCGGGCCCATGTTGGGGCCTTGCATGTGCGGCGGGCCCTGCGGGAACCCCTGCTGCATGGGCGGGCGGTTCCAGTCGGGCCGCATGCCGCCGTTGGGCGGCATCTGGTTCTGCATGTTCCTGGGCGGCATTTGCTGGCCCTGCGGCGGCCCCTGGTACTGATGGTGCGAAGGCAACATTTTCAAAAATTTTGACATTGTTTTTTTGCGTTTTTTTTTTTCATCACAGTTTCATTTATCACATTTTTATTATTAGTACAATATATCAAGTGTACAACTAGAGATTTAACAGTTTGGAAATTAAAAATTTAAGGAAAAAACGAAAATAATTTCCAGTTTATAACAAAATATTAATTTTTCCATAAAATTTCAGTTTTTTTCGAATAATTAATTTTTCCGGAAATTTTAAATCTCTTATGTGCAACATAATGTTATCTTATAGAGAATATTTCAGATTTTAAGTTATTTATGTCAATAATAATAATTTATGTATTTATGTACAGTCAAAGTAAATAGTAATGCACAAAATATTATTTTAGGACATTTTTAGATAGTATATTGGTCATTTTGGACGTTTTAAACCCGTTTTATTTTAGTTTTACTTACTTGATATTTTCTCTGACTGTACATTTAGGTCGATACAGCATAAAAAATATGTTAATTCATATCTTAAAATGAAGAATAATATTTAATTTGGTCGCACACTTAAAACTTTTCTTAACTGGTTTATCGTCGTTAACTCAATAATAGTTTGATGGGTAAATATTGAAAAAATTGTGTTAATGATGACAAATGTGTACATATTAAATTAATGGCGTGATTTCCACAAAATCACAACTTAATTTCATGTTTTGTTTTTATAAAACTTTGTGACCAATAAACCAAAACAAAAAATAAAACCAAGGGTTTTATATTTTTTATAAATTTTAAATTGGTTTTATTTTTCATAACCTTTGAAATAGACAAAATAACACTTTCTATAAAATGATTTTTATAATACACAGTTTAATATCCTTAATGTTAAAATCATTAAAATATGTCATGTTAACAGTATTTTCGAGTTTTAAGTAATAATAACAATTTAAACACCATTTGAAAATGAATATTTAACATTTACAATTTTTCAGTTTCTTGTGAAAAAAAATTTGAAAAGTTGAAATTAACTGTAGAAAGGACAAATTCATAAAGTTAAAAATTGTGGAAAAACTTATAAATATAAAAACTGGTGGGACAAATTTTCCAAAATTGACAAACCATCACTATTCGAAATTTGTAAAATTTTCTGAATTGACATAGTTTAACTAAATTTTTAAAATTGACAAATTTTAAAATTTTATAAATATTTGTAACATTAACAAATTTACAAAATTGTCAATATTTTAAAATTTCATAATTATTTGTAAAATTTCCAAAATTGACAAATTTACGAAATTCTTACTACTATTCAAAATTTGTAAAACCTTCTAAATTTCCAAAATTGTTAAAATTAAAAAAAATTTAAAATTTCCAAAATTGACATTTTTTTAAAATTTCATCAATTTTCAGAATATAAAACAAAATATAAAAAGTTGGCATAATTTTTAAAATTTTCAAAATTGTTAAAATTTACAAAATTTCAAAAATATTGAAAATTTGTAAAATGTTTTTTGGCATTAAAATTTCAAAATTGACAAGTAAAAAATTTTAAATTGTCAAATTTTTAAGAATCTTTAAATTTTTCCAAATTTTTAATTTTCAAAATTTTTAAAATATTCAGAATTTGTAAACTACACAAATTAGCATAATTTTTAAAAATACCAAAATTTACAGATCTGTTTAAAAAACTTTTACAAACTATAAGAATTTCATTTTTTTTTGTAATGACAACAACACGATTTGGCACGTGGCGTTCAAGATCATAATCAAACAATTGTGGAAATTTTTTTTAATATAATTTTCAAAATTGACAAATTTTTAAAATTTTCCAAATTGACAAAATTTCCAACTTTCAAGTTTTCAGAAGTTTCAATATTTTTTTACTGGTTCTAAACCGTAACGTTTGAAACGTATCGCAATAAACTGAAGAATTATAAATGCAAAATTTAATTGAAATTTCAGTGAAAGCTCTAAATAGAAAATGGCGAAAATACAGCGGTAGAACACTTAGTAGAGTAGAGGAGTCTTTCGGCGAGCAACTCACCATAGGCGGCCTGGGCGGTCCCTGCTGTCCCGGCGGCGGTCCGCCGGGCCTCATCGGCCCCATGTTGGGGCCGTTGGGCCTCGGCGGGCCGTTCCACTGCGGCTGGCCCTGGAAGCGGGGCGGGCCCTGGCCCTGCGGCGGGCCGTTGAAGCCGGGCGGGCCCTGCATGCGGGGCCCTCCCGGCCCCATCCCCGGCGGCATGGGGCCGCGCATCGGCGAGTTCATCGGCTGCCTGCCGCCGAAGTTCTGCATGTTACCTGGATGGATGGAATTGTTACTGTGATTAGGGTGTTGGGGGCGCGAGTTGGAGTTGTTGGTGGGTGAGGGACGGGTTTTTGACTGACTTTCGAAGTTACTGAGAGCCTGTTTTGTGGGAGCGGTTACGACGGGGGTTTGGCCGTTGATTTCCTTCTTCGGCAGCAGGTCCATGCAGAGCCGCATGCTCTGGTCGGAGCCCATCGATATCACGCAGAACCCCTTCGATTGCCCGTTGGCGCGGTGCTCGAAGAACTTCACTTCGTGGAAATCGTTCACGCCAATGTCGTGGACTGCATTCGTTATATCTTGATCTGTTGTCCACTGCAAATTTAAATATTAAATACCTTAATCCCACGTTTGTTCAAAACACGTTATTATTGTTTGATTAAAATGTACAATGTTCCACACCCAAAAGGCTCTACTTGAAATTTTAATGCGGAACGCAGCCTTACGATAACAAGAAGTCAACCAGATAAATAATAAATACATATATATTTTTACACTGTGTCTAGTCTCACGCTAGCGTGAACGCAATTTTGTTATTATTCTCACGCGGTGACGTCACTAATTATAATCCGTTTTTGTTCTCAGAGCATTTAATATTTGACAACAAGCTAGATGGCTCCGATGGTAGGGCGGGCGCTTGGCATGCGAGAGGTCCCGGGTTCGATTCCACGAACTTTTTTTATTTTTTTATTTCATAAATTTGTTGTTTCTTTGTTAAACAGTGTTCGGTTGGGTTGGGTTGGTTAATTTGTTTTAGTTTATCGTAACATAAAATCTACCAGAAGTTGTCGAACTTTTTTTATTTCATAAATTTGTTGTTCCTTTGTTAAAGTGTTTTATTTTTATCGTAACATAAATTTGCCCATTTTAGTTGGGTTTTTTGCTCAATGGGGCGGGGGGGGGTCAATGGGGCGGGGTCGGTTGGGTTGTGTTGTTGAGTTTGGGTTGGTTTGGCTGCAGTAAAAGAGTCTCGATTTTATTATTAGGTAGTAAATTTTATTACATTTGCATAATCAAATCAAATGACATAATCAAATAATAATTAAATCAAATGACACGACACCTAAAAAGTAAAATTAAATAAAATAATGCGTGAGAATAAAATTAAAATTATTTTGACTTTAGCGTGAGAATAAGAATAAAATTGCGTTCACGCTAGCGTGAGACTAGACACAGCGATATTTTTATACAGTTTATGCGTCCTAAATTAACACGTTGACTGCCAGGCATATATTTTGTAAACTCAAATGTTTGCTGTTGTCTTACCCAACTGGGTTGACACAAGAATACAAATTTTTGCTACTGTCCACCTGAATGGGTATAATCAAAGATAATACATTATAATGTATTATCTTTGGGTATAATCTGTGAATGGGTGGACAGTAGACCTTTGTTTATTGGCATATATGAAAGGCATCTGTTGAAAAGTAGCGGAAAATATGTTTTAAATCGATAGTAAAGTTTCCTTTTTATAGGTGTGTTTACTTATTTGTATGTACAGAGCGCTCTTTTGTCAGTTTTTCATTCTTCCAAACTGCAGGTTTCTGTCTTTGTTTTGTCCACCCAAATGGGTATACAGTGTCCTATATTAAGTACCAGAGTGAGGTTAGATGATAAATTTAATTGTTTTTTTTCTTTTGAAATGGACATCCGAATAAATAATAATTAATGTAAAAAATAATAATAATTTTAATAACCAGATTTTGTATTTAAATTCTTTTTTAATTTTATTGTTTACCCATTTGAATGGACGCTACTAGTAAACAACCTTGTAAAGAAGTGATGTACACCCATTTGGGTAGACAGGCTTAACAATCCAAAAAACGTAAATTTCATAAGAAACATATATAGGTTTGTAAAATATTTCTACGATAACCCAATTGGGTGGACATGGCAGTCAACGCTAAAATGCATATTGCATTGCAAAACCACATTCAGATAATTATCTAATTATAATTAGACGAAAATGACAGATACATAAACTCAATTATGGAGCTGCGTTCCTCATTCAAATGTCAAAGTCGACCTTTTGGATGAGTCATCTTTTGTAATAAGTTGTTCATAATTATTTTACTATTCAACTACGAATTCCTCAAGACATTAAAGAAGATTTTTTCTCTTGTAAAATCTTCTAAATTGGCATAATTTTTAAAATTTAAAAAATTGTTGTAATTTCCAAAATTTTCAATTTTCAAAATTGACAAATTTCCAAAATTTGTAAAATATTCTAAATTGGCATAATATTCAAAATTAATAAAATTTACAATATTTTTAACTTCCAAAATTAACAATTGTTAACATTTCTTAAATAAAATGTTTAATTTACTAAAATCTCCGAAATTTTAAATTTCCAAAATCGAAAAATTTACAAAATTTCATAAATATTCATAATTCGTAAAACTTGCTAAATTGGCATAATTTTTAAAATTTACAGAGTTTTAAATTTACAAAATTTGTAATAATTTCTAAATTATTACAAATTTCCATAATTGCTCCAAAATTTAAAAAATTTCATAAATATTCAAAATTTGTAAAAATTTAATAATTTTTCCAAAATTTAGAAAATTTCATAAATATTCAATATTTGTAAAAAATTTTAAATTGGCATCCTTATTTAAAATTTCCAAAATAATTAAAATTTACAAAAATTTTAAAAATTTGTAAAATGTTTTTTGGCATAAAATTTCCAAATTGATTTTTAGAATACATACAAAATTTCAAAATGTTAAATTTTTTTGAGTTAATGCATATAGGGTTGGGAAAATTTCACTTTTTGCTTGTACTTGAAATTTCACTTGAAATTTTCACGACATTTATGAAATTTATTAAAATTTCCTAAATGTCTAAAATTTCATGAAATTTATTGAAACTTTCAATAAATTTCAATCACTTTAAGTGTAATAGGTATATTAATATTGAAATTAGCCCACTCGGTGACCATGGCAAATTGCCTCTCTTACCTCCTACCCCTCTGTGGGCCCCTGCACCAATAATATAAATAGTAAATACCTATGTTTACCACAAATTTCTTGAGATTTCCTTTTAAAATATTTTTAAAATTACTAAAACTAAGAGAGATATAGCACTTTTTGGTAAGCTAATGAGATTGTGCCACTTTCATTGTTTTATATTTATATATGTATTTATTTATTATTTTTATATATTTTACTGAAATTTTACAAAAATTGAAGAAACTTCATCAAAATTTTATGAGCCAAAGGCATTTTTTATCCGTTTTCCGATACAATTATAGCAAAAGTAAAAGTTTAAATTAATCATGACTTTTAAAAAAAATTTTAAAGTCTGATTTAATTTACAAAATAACATGGTAACTGAATTAAATTATTTAAATTAATTTATGCATATAAGTAACAATAATTACTTATAGTGTATTCAAATCCAAGCCGAACTAAACAAAAACGCCCAGACGCTTGATAACTCGTTCTTATTGGTCGATTCGGAATCTGTTGTAAATTATTATTAAAGGTCCCAGGGGAGGCCGCATGTGAAATTTATGCGAAATTTTCAGTAAATTGCGAAACTTTCAATGAAATTTCCTCGGAAATTTCTGAAAGCTTCACAGGCAATGTTGAAATTTTCAAATTGAAAATTTCATTTGAAATTTTTAAAAATTTCACTTTTCCAACTAAATGAAATATTTCAAGTTTGAAACTTTCAAAGTTGAAATTTTCATTTGAAAATTTCAACTTTCCCAACCCTAAATGCATATTTTAAAAAAATTGGACAAATTTAATAACTGTTATTATTTGTCAAATTTTTTTAAAATATGCAAATTATTTAAAATATGCAAATATTTTAAATAAAAAAATTTTTTTTTTAAAATATGCAAATATGCAAATTTACAAAATTTCATAAATATTCAGAATTTGAAAATGATTCTAAATTGGCATATTTCAAATTTCCAAAAGTGTTAAAATGTATAATAAATTTAATTTCTAAAACTGACAAATTTGCAAAATTTCATAAATATACAAAATTTGGAAAATTTTCTAAATTGGCATAATTATTTTACTTTTTAACTACAAAATTTTAATTTTCTTTACCCTTCACCAAAAAATGAATTCCTTGGGACATTTAATATTAAATTGTAACATCAGGCTTCCAGATATATACAGTGTTGGCCATAATTTTTGAAACCACTGTAAAAAATCTAACTCTAAAACGCCTATATTATCTTTATGAAATTTTGGATACAAATAACTTATATCTCAGTTTACGTGTTCGAGGCCGAAGAATGTATTTTTGTTAGTATACCCTGAAAATTTTGTACAAATCAAATGAACAGCAACGAAGATACAGCGATTTAAAGTCCCCAAAATTGACCGCTTTTCAGCAAAATAATCAAAAAGGGGCAATTTTTACCGACTTTGAAGCGCTGTATCTTCGTTACTGTTCGTTTAATTTGTACAAAATTTCAAAATTTTCAGGGTATACTAAAAAAATACGGTCTTTAACAGCATATTTATTATTATAAGGTTAAAGAAAAATTACCCTAAAAGTTATTTTCGAACGTTTTTTCATTATTAAATAAGAGCTTTAAAAATATTTTCTCGAAAAACCCTCGAACACGTAAACTGAGATATAAGTTGAAGTATTTTTATCCAAAATTTCATAAAGAATAATAATAATAATAATTAGATTTTTTTACAGTGGTTCCAAAAGTTATTGCCAACACTGTATATACATATATCACCATAATATTATTATAAAAATTGCATTTGTAATGCAAATTGCAGTTTTTAACAATATTAACTTTATAATATAATCCAGTATGCTGCTTTTTTCAAACAATAAAATATTATTAATTATTTTACTAAATAATAGAAACGTTTTATTTTATGATAAATTGTTATTGTTTTCAGTGAAAATTTGGAGTAATATTCAAATTTGTAATTTTTATATCACGTAACTATTTAAACTTTTAAAATAAAATATAATAGATAATATATTATCTATTATATTTTATTTTAAAAGTTTAAATAGTATATATACAAAATCACTTTAGGTCTTATTTATTTTATATTTTAATTCTTGATAAAAGTTTTTACTTGATTTTAAACCCCTAATGAAACAATTTCCTTTTTATACATTTTTTCCCCACATTTGAAAAGAAAATTTATGATGTATAGTAAACTAAAAATAACAATAAAAATTACAGGTATAAGATGACATTTTGCTTATTTTTATAAATTAAATGTTGTTCCTTAAGTTTAAATAATTAAAATTTTATAGTTAAAACTGTTGACAAAGCTTTAATTACAACAATTATTTGGTATTATATTTTAAAGAATATTTTGTGCAGTTTTTATCATACCTATTTACATTAAAAAAATAATCCTTTTTAATTAAAAACAAACTTTAATCTGTAATAATCATTTGAAATTTATTCTCAGTCAAGCAGATGCAACATCACATTTAGTACATTTTAGCATTTCTTGACAAGAACTTTTAAATTTTATTATACCCTTTTAAACTATTATATCTGCAACAAAATTCAAATTGAAAAAAAAATACAAATATTGATTTAACAATATAGATTGACCCAGAACTACATACTCATGATAAATTAAACATAACATACCCAATATTATCTTTAATAAATCAAGTACTTACCCATGTCAAATTTCCAACATACAACTGAAGCCGTCTTCCGGAAGAGTTGTTTTGTATGCTGTTTCCTGAGGAGGAGAACGCGTTTCCGTTTGTTTCTTCTCCTCCTCCTCCTCCTCCTCCTCCCGAAGGAGTTTGATGATTCGTTTCTGCATCTGAGTTATTTACGGCCGATGGGGCCGCTATAACGTCGTCATAAAGGTCTACGTTATCTCCACTGAAATCATCCTGAAAAATATACAGCAAATAGTTTATTCTTTGCTTGGTTATTGGCTTATGTTGTGAAATTTGTATTTTAAACATATTTTTAAATAAAATCAGTTGCAGAAATCGCAACACCAACTTGTTAAAAATGGTTTTAAAATTTAAAATAATGTAGTGAAAGAACAAGATTTAACTTTCTTAAGCTGTTGGCTTAAGAATGTTTTAAGATTATATGTTTATTTACATTTGCATTTGCCAACCGAACCCCCAAATCTTTAACGTTGTCAAAATATAAAAAACGACTCTACAACACTGCGAAACATCAATAGAAACCGGCTACAAACTTTGCCAAATTAACGTTAAATTAAAATGTTCAAAGGCTCGATTATGGTATTAAATTAAACCCTGAACATTGGAGAATGCGTTTTAAAGTATGTAATGATAAAATAATTATTTACCTGTGCAAAATCTTGATCAATGTCGTCTGCGTATAAATCTATGTCGTTATCCGCCATTATTAACGACGCGACTTGTGGAAATATGGCGGATTAACCGGGAACAGTGGCGCTATACGTTTGAACTAATTTCGAATTAAAATATTATGGCGCCAATTTCAAATAACTAAACATGTTTTATTCATTGTAATTTTAAATATTAAATGAGTACAAGTAAATTATTTATACTGTAAGTAAGAACATAAATTAAATTAAAAAAATATATTAATTTTTAAATTAAATTAATTACATTTATTTATGCTTATCATGCAGTTTTGAGTGCATTCTTTAATTTAAAAAGCAACAAATATTATTGCTCTTGATTAACCTTAAAATTAAAGCTAAAATAATACTTGTGGTTGGCGTCTTTCTCAAGATACAGGGCGTTAAATTCGAAATTTAATTTAAATTTAACTGTGGGTAAAATAAAACAAACATTTACAATGGAAGTCCCAGCCATTTTATTAATTAATTCATGAGCCAGGAATGCTTAAAAAATTACAATATGACCTACCAGAAACCAAAAAACTGTTTTATTACATTATCACAAACTGTAAATATAAAAACATGAAATCTAAATACAAAATACATAAAATATTCTTAATCTATCTTCTCATCGGGTTTGCCCTTATCTGCTTCAAAATAGGCCCTATAAATATACATTCCAAGGGCTATATGGAGCACCACTATGGATATAACTGCAGACCACACATTGCTGGGTAGATTATTTAACCCCAAAATGCCTAAAATATATTTAATGGTTAATTAATCTTAATTAGGCTAAAATACTAATATATTATTAGATTAGTATTTATTGTCCAATTGGAAAAACTGTCAAAAACTTAAAAAATTGGGTTATGTTATCTATTTAGTTGTCATGTCAACTTTTAATTTTGGAGTTTCCAAAATTGCATTATTAAGGTAAAAATATCATGATATTGTTCTTCTCGATATTTCATTGCATTATAAAGCATGAAAAAAGTCGAAATGCTATTTTTTTGACTGATAAAAACATGAAATAATTTAGTAAAGAATTCATTCACATGACTTACCCTCAAAAAACAAATACTTTGATACGAAAAACGATGTTATAGGTGCTAAAAGGATAAACACACTATAAGCCAGGATCGTTTTGAAAGTGGTAAATTGCTGTGCATTTGTTTCCATTTTGTACTTAATTAAAACAACCGTAATTAATAAACTAAATAGGATACCGAAAAATTTAGGTTAACAATCTTAAGTAAACATTTCCAAGTGGCAAAGTTGGCACAACTGCTTAATTGTCAAACTTGACAGTGTGGCAGTGTTGTAGAATGAAGGAAATAAAAGACCGGCGCTGATCGTATTTGTGGATGTCACGGTCATTTATATTTATATTTGTTATAAGATCGTGATCAGGATCTTATAGTTTAAAATTGCTGCCTTTTTCTCCGAACATTTGCGGATAGTTCAGATGACTGAGGGGATAATTTTATTATTTGACATTGGCAACACTGCAGTGTGGAGGAAGAAGATTAACCCTAATAACCTTAAATGTTTACTTCTTTCGGTGTTAAAATAGTGGCCTTATTTAGAATAATTAGTTATTATTTTTAGTTATTTATTAATACAATGGCAGAAGATATAAGTTTCTTACAGAAGGAAGCCGACAAATCGGTATGTTGGAATTAACATATGTTTTGCTTCTTAAATTTCTATTTTTAAAAATTGCAGGAAGAGCAAATTTTGCTGTTGAAAAAAGAGTTGACTGCTTTGAAAGAGGCCATTAAAAATAGAGTCGTACTCAGTACTGATGACGCCAAAATCAATCAAATAGTTACTGAGAACACCAAGCTCAAACATCGATTGGCTGTCTTAAAGAGGGTAAAAATTTTGATTATTACGTTTATGAGTCAACTTTAATTGATATTATTTTAGGCTATAGCGGCACACAGCACTTCAGCTCCAATTGTTACTGATCTAACCAGAATGCAGAGCATACAGGAGACTTTAAGTCGATTGTTTGGACAGGCGATTGCTGCAGCTTACCCTGATTTGGTGGATGCACCCATTGTAATTGCTTTATCTGGAAAAGATCCCAAGTTTGGTGATTTCCAATGCAATTCTGCCATGCCTATAGCAAACTTGTTCAAACAAATTGGTAATTAGAAAAATTAAATTAACTGTATCTAAATATTTTTTTTAGGCAAAAAATTGGCCCCAAGAGACATAGGCTTAAAAATCGTGGAAAACCTGCCAGCTCATTCGATGATAGAAAAATGCGAAGTGGCAGGGCCAGGTTTTATAAATGTGTACTTGAACAAAATCCATGGTGTTAAAACTTTGAGTGCCATCTTTGAGCATGGTTTAAAACCACCAACTTTGGCCAGGAAACACAGGGTTTTGGTTGATTTTTCGTCGCCAAACATTGCAAAGGAAATGCATGTGGGACATTTAAGGTAAAAAATTTGTTGAATTAAAAATTGTTTTCTTTAAAAAATAATATATTTTCAAGGTTATTTCGTTTTTAAGAATTCATAAAAAATCATTGATTGATTGAGGGATAGAACGATATCACTTTTTTTGCCGATACGATGTATCGGCCGATACCGATATTTACGTGCCGATATACCGATATATCGTATCGGCAAACATAATGCCATCTATTTATACACAACCAAAGCAAAAATCGGGGAAGTCCACAGACCACCAAAACAAATGGACAGATTTGTTTACGTTTAAAAAGCGAGTAAAGCATAGTTTCACATTCTAAACACCGTCGAAAGAAACACGGCTTCCAACGTTGTCAGAAGTATAGATTACACGCCTTTTTGGACGTTCATCATAACATAATGAACATTAATAATTACCAGAAATTCGTTTAAATAATAAAAAAAATGTAAAAAGGATTTTTCATCATTTTCTTTAGATATTTTTCTCTATTTAAAGAAAGTAAATCATTTAATAATTATTAAAATTAAATATTAACAACGTTGGTAAATTCGTCATATAGAAAAAGGTTATGTTCTGTGGGTTGACAGCTTGTTGTTTTGTGTTTTCGTTTGTGTATTTCTATCGTGTTTAAGTTAATTATGGAGTTTAAATACATTATTTTTTACTAAAAATAACCATACATGGAAATATCGTTTGTAAGTACCTACCTACTTATTTTTAAATCCCAATACGTCACTGGAAGAAAACATAAAATTCTATCGCCAATTTAACGCTTAGACTGTGACCGTTTGATGACGTCACTGGAAGAAAACAAAATTATATCTCCAATTTGACGCTTAGACTGTGACCGTTTGTTGACCGCAAACAAATCATTGTTATTGAATGGCAATGCGCCGTCCATTTGTTTTGGTGGTCTGTGGGGAAGTCTCGTTTTAATTCCGTTGCGAGGAAACGTTTGTGATTGGTAGTAAGTGACATTTCGGATTTCTGGGAAGCCTCTTATACAGTGTGTATTAAAACGAATAGATACACTTAAATAAAACAAGTGCCAAACCCTGCCCACCGTGGTAGGGATTGAGAATTTATAAGTTTTATTTTTGCAAGCGTAAGTTATCGAGTAACTTAAAACCGGTTATAACAAAAGACTTTTTAACAAAGTAAGTAATCTAGTAAGTTTTTGAAAACGTCTTTAAGTAATCACCGCAGAAAGAGTTTTTGTGGTGATTCACCTCAGAAACTCTTTTTGCGGTAATCACCAAAGAAACCTAACAAAACCAAAATCCCAAATGTGTGGAATAGTTGGCAAAATTGTGGAATTTTGACAGAATCTGTGTGTAAATTATGTCAACACCATTGGCAACACTGCAAGTTTCCAAAAACATCAGATTTTTTAAATTTGCTGTATATAGAAATCTGCACAGAAATTCGTCCATATAACTAAATAACTAAAATGCGCATTTGCAAATATATCTATTTAAATGCTTGTTATAAGCATTGTTAATTTAAAGATAAAGTTTACACGCAAATTCCACACATTTATGTATTACACACAAATTACACACAACAAAATAAATTCCACACAATGCGTGGATTTCCACGTACATTGGCAACACTGGCGCTACCAACTTGTAAATTGCAAAGTTACTGCCGTTAAATTTGCTTTTTTAAGGTGAATTCTGACGTGTTATAAAAAAATATCATTCATTTGCGTATTGTTTACGAAGAACTTTAACAATTTGTTTTAAAACGTTTTTTTACGAAATTAAAAAAGTTTTTCCTGTCGGAAATCCGATCCGGGGAAACACTGTATACTGGTATATTATAATTTGTAAATTAATATATTTCACCTTTTGTGCCAACATTCTTATGCTTTTTATTTCAATTATTATAATATCCTCAATTATACTCAATAAAAAAAAATTACCAAAAAAACATTTTGAATTTCCTAAATTATCTTAAAAAACCCTCAGGGACACGTGTTCCTTTTGGTCAATTAACTTCAAATTTTGCAAGAATTTGTTTTTTTTTTTAAATTTGGAACTAATGTGTGGGTCCAGCCAAATTATTTTTTTTAAATTTATACAGGGTATTTAAATGTATATAGGGTGTTTCCAATATCGTTGAATTTTGACCTGATACAGCTAAACCAAGCATGGATTTGTAATCTACGACCAAAAAATAAGTTTAAGTGTCCGAGCGTTTAGCTGTGATATTTTCACCTCCCTACAGTGTAATCTGCAACAAACGATGTTCACGCACGAAATGTCAAAATTACAAAAAAAACCGTCAAATTTAAAATGACGGTGACCCATAAATAATATTGAACGGTGCGCGCCAGCCTTAAGCTATTAGCAACTGACACTGACTTTGGGAAGATACAGCATGATACTCCGTCTTTTCTAAGGCTCTTGCGTATTCAGGTCCACCATCATCGGGGACAGCATCTGCCGCCTTCTCGAGTACTTGGACACGACGTCGTGCGTATCAACCACGTGGGCGACTGGGGCACGCAGTTCGGAATGCTGATCGCGCATTTGCAAGACAAATTCCCCGACTTCGCGAGCAAATCCCCACCCATCGGCGATCTGCAGGCGTTCTACAAGGAATCCAAGGCCAGGTTCGACGAGGACGAGGCCTTCAAAAAACGCGCGTACGCCGCCGTCGTCAAGCTGCAGTCCTTCGACGCGACGTACGCCAAAGCGTGGCAGCTCATCTGCGACGTCTCCCGCAAAGAGTTCCAGAAGATCTACGACAGGCTGGACGTCGTCCTGAAGGAGAGAGGCGAGTCGTTTTATCAGACGCGCATGGAGAAAATCGTTAAAGAGTTGGATGCCAAAGGTTTTCTAGAGCTGGATGACGGTAGGAAGGTTATGTGGGGCGGCGCTACGATACCCTTAACCGTGGTCAAGTCCGATGGCGGGTTTACCTATGATACCTCCGACATGGCTGCCATCAAGCACAGGATTGAGGAGGAGAAAGCCGATTGGGTGAGTCTTTATAGAGATACAGTAGAAACCACCAATATATGAACGTGACTCATCGGGTGCCGAACATATCTCAGACATGCTAGCAGTAATGTTTTACTTGACTTGTACATTCGATGTACTCACACGTAGGTTTTTAAGCATCCGGTCTAAAATGCGCCATCTGTGATGTGATCTCGCTTTACACTGCCTAGGTGTTCGAGAAAGATGGACATATGACGCGTGTCCTAGCTTGTTACTTTTTTTTGTTGGAATTCAGTAGAGTTCGTGTTTTAGGGAATTTATTTTATTATATTACATAGTAAGGCAACCAACTCTACCGTCGGCCATTTGTTTTTATATGTCATATGATCTTTGTTTTTGCATATCGTGTTTCTGCTGTGTGTTTACGGATTAATAATCGTTTTAAACGTTGTAGTGCTAGTGGTTTTTATCGCAATTGTTATTGAATGTTTATTGGACTTTATTGCAATTGTTATTGTGCGTTTTTTGGACTTTAAATAAACGGTGTGTGTTTACGAATTAATAATAGTTTTAAACGTTGTAGTGGCAGTGGTTTATATTATGTAACACAGGTAGGTATAAAAATCCTTACCTAAAAATTCTAGGCCAGAATACAAAAATATTTTTAATATATAAATTTTGTACTACACCTATTCCAGTTGATATTCAGAAAGTAGGAATTGTAATTCAGTTATTCCAGTTGATATTCAGATAGTAGGAATTGTAATTCAGCTATTCCAATTGATTTTAAGAGAGTAGCATATGTAATTCAGATAACACAATTGATTTTAAGAAAGTAGCAATTGTAATTCAGATAACTCAATTGATTTTCAGAAACTTGCAATTGTAATTCAGAAAGTAGCAATTGTTTTTCAGATTAAATCAAATGTAATTCAGCGGCTGAATTTCAGCCGCAGCAATTGTTTCAGGAACAGTGGGTTGCATACAGTAAATCGATGATGAATGAAAATACACGTTATCTTTATTAACTAAATAAATGAAATTTATATAAAGTACAAATTCGGTCCTTACTTGCAATAAGTTGACAATTATGACAAATATACCTACTTAAATGGTGATAAATTTGTTTACTATTGTCAATTCCATGGAAACAAGGAAATACATTAAATTGAGATTTTAGAAAATAAGTAAAATGAAGTATGAAAATGTTATCATTTGTTAATTTCTGAATTTCAATTGACATATTCTGAATTAGAATTGTTACTGTCTGAATACTATTTGTAATTTCTGAATATCAATTGCTACTGTCTGAATATCATTTTCAATATCTGAATTACATCAGCTACTTTCTGAATATCATTTGAAATATCTGAATAACATTTGCTATTTTCTGAATTTCATTTGCAATATCTGAAAATCAATTGCTGCTTTCTGAATATCAATTGCTACTTTCTGAATATCAACTGGAAAAGGTGTAGTATTAGTTTAATACATTCTGAAGAAGCTACCATGTAGCGAAACAATTGTCAATATTTAATAAATTTCGTGAAACTAACGCAAGTTGTTTTTATATCCACACAATTTAATTACACTATGATAGTTTTACAAACTTTTTTTCCTAACATTAAGTACTCCAGTTTAGTTTAACTAATTTTGGGCCGCTGAATTCAAAAATGTAATTAGTTTTTCTCTAGGACGTCTAGGATTTAAAATAATTTCGTAATAAAATGCTCTGTTCAATCACCTTAAAATGTAAGTTTTTGTTGGTATTTTAATTATTTATTAAATTATTTTAGCTTAAATTTATCTTGAATGTATTAAAGTAATTGGTATACGGCAAATAGATCATAGTTATTTTAACAATATGACATTTTAAATACTAAAACTAAAATCTTAATGCATTTTATGTAAAAAAACAACTATTATTTGACATTTTTTGTAGTTTATTTTAATTATTAAATTGAAAGGGTAACAAAGTAAACAAGTTTCAGTATTTTTTATCCAAATTAAGCCCTAAAAATTTAATGCATTTTAAAATTTTGCTTTTTTCTACCTTAAATTTATTAAATCGTATCAAATATCAAATTGGATTATAGTATTACTGTGCTTAATCCTCATCATCGTCGTACATATTTTGCTGCAAATTCCAGCAAATGTCTCCTAGCAATGAATCCAACTTCTTTCCGCTATACCCATAGATATCTACCAATGGTCTAGATTTGCAATTACTTGGTGAAATCGTTCTCCATGTTCATCAGTTCGGCAAATTTATCAGGAAGAAAAAAAAAAGAAATTGTATTTTAAATGACATATTAACGCTAATTCTTTGCAAAATGACAAGCATTTTTTCAATGAATTGGCGCCAATTTTAGGCCCGATATGAACCAAGAACATTTTTAATGACAGCTTCAACACTGCCATATGCGACAAGCTCGTCAACTTTGAGAGCATTTTTGAATGCTTGATCTTTCATTAAACGTCGTATATCAGGTCCATTTAAAATTCCTGCAAAATTAAAGTAGTAGGTATATCTCATAAAATTTTGTAATGAAAAATTGCGTTGGTTTTTCTTGGGCGTAAAGGTACCGCAACAAAAACAAAACAAATTTACAACGACGACATAAATGTTCGTCTCCTTTCTCTTTCTCTGCTACTTCCATTACCACTTCCATTTCCTGCTCTTTTTTTATTTTTGGTTCTTAAAATCACTTTCAAGTAAAAATACAATTTAAATTTTAAATTTTAAATGTCCATCATTATTAGATTCACTTTAGTGTGCTTGAACGATAAAGTAGATAAAGGCGCCTTTATACTTCAATTCGATATTAAATTTTGATAAGATTAAATAAATAAGATTCGAGACTAATTTTTTGGGTACTTTAGGCATGAATAAAAACATTATAGTTTTAGTTTTGGTATTTAATAAAGCACGTCTCTGCAGAAAAATGCTTTATTAAATATACTACTATAGTATACGGCTACAATGGAACAAAAAAATTCTATTTGACATTTATTGACTTTGTATGGAGTCCCTGTATATTTTTGACAAAAAAAGTCAAAAATGTACTGAACATCCAAAATAGATTTAAGGCAAAATAATTTAATAAATACCTATTCAAAATATTAACAAAAAACTTACATTTTGAGATAATTGGGCAGAGCATTTTATTACGCAATTATTTCGAATCCTAGACGTCCTGGAGCAAAACGAGTGGCATTTTTGAAATCAGCAGCCCAAAATTAGGTAATATAGGTGGGCGTACTCAATGTTAGTAAATCGAACTATCATAGTGTTATTTTTCACTTTGTACCTGACCTGTGTTTTTTTCACCAATTCTGAAATATTTGCGTTTAAAGTTAAAAGAAAAGTTTATTTATTAATTAGTTTCTAAGAAAATAACATTTTATTTAATTACTTAGATGTTTATTATTAAAATTTAACTTTAAAAGCAAATATATCAGAAGTATAGCAACCAACATTACACTCATGATTTTTTACAAATATTTATGCCCCCGTTAGAACAGCACTGCAATGGACCGTGACCTTCGATAGATTACTTCGTACGATTGTGCCTGATGAGTCACGTTCATATATTCGTGGTTTCTACTTTATTACGGAATATACGTGTACCATAAAACCATAGAACTATACGTTGAGTATTTTCTGTTTTAGCTGATTTACGTGACGGACGCCGGGCAAGCGACCCACTTCCAAGTCCTTTTCGGCTGCGCCAAAAAGGCGGGAATTATCGACGATTCGCACCGAGTGGATCACGTGGGCTTCGGGGTGGTGCTCGGAGAGGACAAGAAGAAGTTCAAGACGCGGTCGGGGGACACGGTGCGCCTGCTGGACCTCCTGGACGAAGGCCTGAAACGATCCCTGGACAAGCTCAGGGAGAAGGAGCGCGACAAGGTTTTGACAGCCGAGGAGCTGCGGAAAGCTCAGACCTCGGTGGCGTACGGGTGCATAAAGTACGCGGACCTGTCGCACAACAGGAACCACGAGTACGTGTTCTCGTTCGATAAGATGCTGGAGGACAAGGGCAACACCGCCGTGTACCTGCTCTACGCTTTCACGCGCATACAGAGCATCGCGAGGAACGCCAACTTTAGCAAGGAGCAAGTCAACGAGTTGGCCAAGTCGCACACGATTTCGTTGACCCACGAGAAGGAGTGGAAGCTGGGGAAAGTCCTCCTAAGATTCCCCGACGTTCTCATCAAAATAACCGGCGACTTGTGCCTGCACAACTTGTGCGAGTACGTTTACGAAATCGCGACCACTTTCTCGGAGTTCTACGATTCCTGCTACTGCATCGAAAAGGACGCGTCCGGCGATATCGTCAAAATCAACCACGGCAGAATACTCCTATCCGAAGCCACTGCCAGGATTCTCGAGCAATGCTTCAATATCTTAGGACTCAAACCTGTATCCAAGATGTAAATAAAAATCTCTATACATACAAACGCAAAACTTTTATTTAACCTACAAAATATTAATAATCCAACGCGCATATCAACGCGACGCCTCGTTTGATCCAGTGATTTTCCGTTTTATCGGTTGGCACTTCAATAGCCAAAACGTAGTTAGTGGAATGACCTGTAGTCGATAACGTTCCGGCTCTCGTAAGCGTTTTGTAAATAGGGCATTCGTAAACTCCCTTGGGTTTCACGTGGTTCTCTTCCGGAACCAACCAAACCACCGGCATATCTAAAAAAATCATTTTTTTTACCAACATAACAATCTTAAGATTTATTTGTTAGGCACCTGTATAAAGTTCCTTCGGATTGGATTCACCCAATAGAGCTGTAACAGGATTCCACCTGGACCCTTCAAGGAACAACCCATAAATACAGCAACCATCAGGGAAAGCCTGGGCTGGTCTATACGAGAGAACCTAAGTACATCAAAACAACAAAATTAACCAACTTTGTTGGATTTCGATTTAGTATTTTAGCACCTGAAACTTGAAATTGATGGTGTCGATGGAAACAATATATTTTCTGGCGAAATTTTGCAAGGTTCCAGTCAAAAAGGCTTGCGGAAAATAAAATCCGGAAATCCAAAATATCGGCGGTATTCCAGATTTCACCCACGTCATTAAAAAGGCGCACCTCGCCTGCAGATCAGACACCCACGCACCTAAAGTTTAACACACACTGCACAAAAATTGCAACACAATAAAACTATTTACCAAGTGGTTTCAAAGAAGGGTAAGCCTTGCTGGCCCACATCTGCGGGACAATGTTGCTAAACAGACTTCCAGACATCTTTTCCAAGGCTTCCGATAACACCACCAAACCTTTCAAGGCTTTCAAGAGGTCGTTTAAAGAAGTGAAAATCACTTTCAGCAACTTGTTGTATCTTATGCCTTCTTGAATTATGACTGTGTTCAAAGATTCTTCGTACAAAACTGGATAGCTAAAAATAATGTCTTCATTATCACATTTTTTTGCAACGAAGACTTTTTAATTCCTTTAAAGGTACACTTGCAAATTTATAATCATTAGTTCTCAAGACTTACCGTTTAGAAATTGCATCCAAATCGAACTCTTTCGGCAAGTTCTCCAAAATGGACTTGGACACGTCCGTGATGACTTCATCTTGACTCATGGCAGCCGCCCCCGTTTGCTGCGGCTGAAGGAGCAACAGGGTTGCCAAACATTTGTACGTTTGAGTCTGAGCGAAAGTTATATCGGCATTCGCGTGCAGCCCAAATAGTTCCGGGTCATCGTTGATGGGGAACGTTTTGATGTAGTCTATGTAGTCCAAAAATGTGGTATCCACTGGCATCTACGGAAGAAAGACCTCCTAAGTTTTTAATTCCGACTCGGTTCTTTTAAACTGTTACCTGATGGTAGACTTTTTCCTGATCGAAAACGTATTTGGCATCGACCACGTCGTTGTTGTAATAATCCGCTAGAACTGTCATTAGACACCTTCTATCCCAATCGTCGGTAACTCTGCCTCCGTAGTTTATATGTCCGGCAGTGTACGTTAAAACTTTGAATGGGATGTCGGTGTACTCCAGCAGAAACATGTGCAACTGAGAAATGCAAATTTTCAAGTCGCCATCTGTGAATTCGTAGGGTATGTTAAAGCCTAGCGGGCCGAACTTTCTCCTTTCCAATAATATGCCTAAAAAGAATGTGAAGTTGCAAACGATGAAATCTAAATCGTCAACAATTTGACTTACCATGAAACAAGCACAAGGAGAACGCGAGCATTTTGAAGGGGTAGGCTTTTTCGTGCTCAGACTGTATGAAATCCGTCAGATCGGACACCTGATTCAAGTAGGCCCTGAGCATGTTGGCTTTGATGCCAGCAGGCGGCTCGATCGTCATTTTGCTGCCGTTTTGAAGAATCGCGACGGGAAAATACGGAGAAGGCGTCGATGTTAACCAAATGCGGAAATCTCGGTGGGCCGTGTCGATTGTAATGTTCTCTATGATGCGTTCCAAGCGGGGCATCCAGCTCGGCGCCAAGTGACAATTCTGAGAAAAATAGCCAGTTTTAAAATTTCTTCGTCAATTGTTTTATTGGCCGATTTATCTAAGATGATGAAGAACATAAAGAAGAAGAAGATAAAGAAGTTGAAGAAGATAAAGAAGTTGAAGAAGATAAAGAAGTTGAAGAAGAAAATGAATATGAAGAAGATAAAGGAGATGAAGAAGATTTAAAATTGTTTTATTGGTCGATTTATCCAAGAATATGAAGAAGAAAAGGAAGATGAATATGAGGAAGATCAAAAAGATAAGGAGAATGAAGAAAATGAGGAATATGAAGAAGAAGAAAATGAAGATGATAAAGAAGATGAAACATTGTTTTATTGGACGGATAATCTAAGATGATAAATAAGATGAAGATGAGGAAGATAAAAAAAGATAAGGAAGATGAAGAAAATGAGGAAGATAAAGAAGAAAATGAAGATAAGGAGGATGAAGAAAATGAGGAAGATGAAGATAAAAAAGATAAAAAAGATAAAAATTGTATTATTGGACGATTTTTATAATATTATGAAGAAGAAAAGGAAGATGAAGTTAAGGAAGCTGAAAAAGATAAGAAAGATTAAGAAAATGAGGAATAAAAAGAATAAGAAGTTAAAGAAGATGAAGAAGTTAAACAAAATAAAAAATTGTTTTATTAAACGATTTATCTAAAGGCAGGATTATACAACAATTGATAATTTACTGGACAATTTATTTCATAACTCAATTGTTAATTTTATACATAATACATAACTTTCAAATCTGGTTTATACAATTCATTAATTTAGTAAACATTTTATTTTTTTAAATGACAATATTGATTATTAAAAGTGGCAAGTGACACAAAATCCATCATTGAAACTCATGTTATGTAGAAACTTGGTAGTATTTTTAAGGCACAAACACAAAACAGAGAGAGAAAAATTGTTCGAACATGCGCGGTTTAATTTTATTTATAATTCATAATTTATTTCATAAAAGTTAAATTTTGTGAACTTTCAAGGTTATTCAATAAATTGTGAGTTACGCATTAAATCCTTGTATAAACTGTTTCATAGCAGATAGTGCGATTTAACTTTTATACTTATGCACTAAATTGTGAATTATGAAATAAATTAATGATATGAAGTTGTATAAACCCGCCATAAGATGAAAAAGAAGATGAAGATGAGGATCTATCGATAGAAAAGATTGAAAATATAAAAAAAGTGTTTTATTGGTCAATTTATCTAAGATTATGAAGAAGACGAAGAAGATGAAGATAAGGAAGCTGAAAAAGACAAGGAAGATACAGAAAATGAGGAATATAAATAATAAGAAGTTAAAGAAGATGAAGAAGGTGAAGAAGATGAAAAAGATAAAAAAATGTTTTATAGGACGACTTGTCCAAGATGATGAAGAAAAGGAAGATGAAGATGAAAAAGATAAGGAAGTTAAAGAAAATGAGGAATATAAAGAATAAGAAGATAAAGAAGATGAAACATTGTTTTATTGGACGATTTATCTAAGATGATGAAGATTAAGAAGAAAAGGAAGATGAAGATGAAAAAGATAAGGAAGATAAAGAAAATACAAAAAATAAAGAATAAGAAGTTAAAGAAGATGTAGATAAAAAAAGATAAAGATGAAAAATTGTTTTATTGGACGATTTATCTAAGATGATGAAGAAGATAAAGAAGAAAATGAAGATGAAGATGAGGAAGATAAAAAAGATAAAGAAAATGAGGAAGAAGATGAGTATAATAATAATAAGGATTATTATACCTGGAAAAACACCCAGTTTCCGGTTTCCACCCCTTCCTCTATAAGCTTCTCGGCCCTGGGTCCCTGCCCTTGCCCCAGCGATATCGAAAACATCCTTTTGGAGAACTTCATCCTGTCGGCGAACTTGTAGAGTTCCGCTGCCGGGTCCGTGCCGGTGGACAGCACGAAAATCAAAGGTATCGTCGGACCGGACTCCTTGAACATTTCCGACAAGTCAGAGGATTGCGGCTCGATGAACTGCTGGCCCATGTGGCGAGATAGGAAGTCTTGCATCGCGTTGGTTACTTTGTCGGGGCGCAGGCATTTCAGCACCAGCAGGCGCTGGAAGTCGTCCAGCTGGTTTTGCACCACTTCCGGCAAAGGTTGCCTGCGTGAAGAGAGAATGTTTTAAGGGCCACCCTGGCGAAAATAAAGCGTGCATGAAAAGTCTGCAATAAGTGTGTATTTGGAGTGCAAGTCTTTATAACAATGTGCATACACGCTACTTTGTGGTAATTTCACACTTTTTGAAATATTTAAGTTTTTTCACTCTTTCATGTAAATTGACATTTTGCAAAGCTTCAGTCTATCTTACGCATGTCACATTTTATACACACTGTTAGCACGCTTTAATATTTCTCATTTATGACGCTTATATTACACCTTTTTATAGCACATTGTTTGTACAGTTTTAGCGATCACTCAACAGTTTAAGCACATTTTAGATATATCTCGCTTGTGTTGGGGTACAACATTTATTTAAAAGGTGAGGTAGATTTCAGAGATCAAAGCAATCCCCTTCGTGGAGTTGACAGTGCAGGTATTTTTCTTAATAAAATACAGTATGTAGGACCTACATTGTGGGTATTTTTATTTAATTTTTTTGAAAAAAAATATTTATATGATTAATATTATAAGGATATTTATATTTCAATTATGTGTAAATTTAAAAGACTTTATAGGTCACCAAAAAGAATCTGTTTTTGTAATAGGCACACAGGTGACAAGAAACAGTGTGCAAACAATGTGAAAAAATCAAAAGGAGTTCCCTTTAGAACATTGTCCAGTGATTATTTACACTTTTAAATTTTTGGTTTTGCACATTGTTTCATGTTCCATTTCCCACCCTCCGCACATCATTTTTTTAAAAGATTGCACATTGTTGGCACATTGTTCTCAAATAATTTTGCACACTTTTTGCACATTTCATTTTCGCCAGGGCAAGAGCAAACATTTTAATAATTTTGACCTCTCCGCTCCGTTAGTTTACACACCAATAAAAATACTTACCTATGAGGATCCACACTTTCAAAAAGTTTCCTATATTTTTCAATATTTGCTGCAAAAGTGTTAATAAACAATTCAAACTTGGAGCAAACTTCCAAGGATCTGATTTCTTTCCATGATTTTACCGACAACCATTGAGGAGCTGGATTTTCCTTTTCCTAAATAAAAACAATTTTTTTCCGAGTAATTAACTCAAATAAATTTTCCTAAACGTGGGAATTTTAACATCACGCACAATATTGTTTGGTATTGAAACTGTATTATAATATCAAAGCAAATTGCAAAACGCTCTATTAATTTTTGAAGAAAAAAACAGTTATTTGATCTTTCGAATCATTACATCGTTTAATTAATTGATTACCCAATAATTACAGCTGAAAACCACGAACAAGAAACACCGAAGCAATTTCAAAGATGTTTGCTTTCCTTTGTTGAAACAAATAGCTCAAAGAAAATGCAAAGATAGACAGACTAGATTTTAAAACCAACGATATAATTTTGTTGTTCTCACCGATAGGGGTGATCCTCCGGCCAAAAACAGGTGCCATTCTTTCGGATTAATAAGTCCGGAGCTCATCATCACTCTGACACACAACAAAAATGCGAACTGTAATTTGTGCTTTTCGAAAAGGCTTCTGCAAACGTTACTGTACAAACTAAACGTGAAATAGTTGTTGATTGTGTCGACTCTTTCTTGAATAATTTCTAGAGCAAGAGAAGAAAACAAGTTTTCATCGAGCGAAATAAAATGAGCGAACAAAATATTTGCCCTAATTTTTAGGCTTGCTTACCTGATCTTTCTGTTGTTGCCATGCTATTTACAAATATAGAAATGAACCATTCCAGAGAGTATTGATACATGGGATCAACGTTCGATAGGTCGGCCAAACAGAAAAATAATATTTGGGCTCGGTTCGCCACGGGAATATACAGGGCTCTCGTGTTATCAATGTCTATTTGAGTTATCTCAGCGGATTCGACTTTATTCTGAAATAAAAGGTCGAACATTTTCATGTTTTGAACAAATTATACCACAATATAAAATCGGTTTTTTCGTTGTTTCCTTGAGTTTCCAAAATTTTTAAAATTGCATAATTTTATTTTAAAATTTGCAAAATTTTATTTTTAAAATTGAAAAGTTAAAAAGTTAAATTAAAAAGTTAAAGTTAAAAAATGTTAAGGTTTTTTCTTTATAATTTTACAAATTTAAAACAAAATCCAAAATTACAAAAATTTTCTAAATTTACAAAGTTTATAAAATTTCCTAAATTGCAAATTTTTAAAAATTTCCTAAATTGCAAATTTTTTAAAATTTTCAGCTGATAAAACATTTTTTCTTAATTTTACAAATTTTAATGAAAATTTTTAAAAATTTACAAATTTTAATTTTAAAAATTGCATTTTTTTTAATTTCCAGATTATAAAAATTTTACAATTTTTTTAAAATTCCCAAAAATTTTTCAAATTTAAAAAATTGCAAAATATTTTAATTTACAAAATTTCCAAAAAAAAATTAATATTGCAAAATTTTTAGAATTTTCTAGATTTTATAGAATTTCAAAAATGTTCAAAATTCTCAATATTCCTACATTTTTTTCAAATTTTTAAAAATTTTCAGATTATCTAAATTTTCAAAACATTTCCAAATTTTACAAAATTTAGAAATTCTTTAAAATTTGAAAAAGTAAGGTTTTTTCGAAAATTTTCAAAATTCACAAAATTTAAAAAATTACAATTTTTGTATAAGATTAAATTTTTTTTTATATTTCTGAATTTTTTGAAATTTTCAAAATCTTAAAATTTGCATTTTTTTATTTCCCAGATTATAAAAATTTTACAAATTTTTTAAAATTCCCAAAATTTTTTCAAATTTAAAAAATTCCAATTTTTTTTAATTTCCGAAATTTACAAAATTTACAAAAAAAACAAAAAAAATTATAATTGCAAAATTTTTAGAATTTTCTAGATTATAAAAATTTACAGAATTTTATAACTAAAGATGGGATATTTAGGTACTAAAAACTGAAAAATAGGTAACTAAAAAGGTACTAAAAAGAAGCATTTTAGGTTAAAAAAAACAGCATTTTAGGTAAAAAAACATTAAAAGTTCAAGTTTCGTTTGTAATTTTGTTTAGCCGCATACCCAAACACAGAACATACCCACAATAAACTATTTCTATGCAATAAACTGTGTTTCACTGAGTGACACTCACTACACAGAAGTTCTATGACAGAACATAAGCTCACTACAAAGAAGGTAACTGTAAAAAAAGTTACTGCTTCAGTCTGTGACCATAAGAAAAAATTCTATACCGTTGAGTTGCACGGCGTGCATGCAATGCACGCCCTGGATAAAATATTGGCGCAAAATTTAAAAAGAACAACAAAAATAAAATAAGTAAAAATACGTAAAAATAGGTGAAAATAAACTGACAAATTAAAAGTATGTAACAAAAGTATAAAAAGGTAGTTTAAAGCAAAAACCTCCAAAAAAGGTAAAAAAAGGCGAAAACAAGTTAAAAAAATAGGTACCTAACAAAAGTATGAAAAAAGGTAGTTTAAAGCAAAAACCTCCAAAAAAGGTAAAAAAGGTGAAAACAAGTTAAGTTCATATAAAAGAAAATCTTTTAAAACACATTTTGGCATTATTGGTTTTCAAATAGTTACATCGGTTGAAAAAAGGTAAAATAACTAAAATCCCATCCCTATTTATAACATGTTCAAAATTCACAATATTCCTAAATTTTTTTCAAATTTTAGAAATTGCAAATTTTTTAAAAATTTTAGATTATCCAAATTTTCAAAAAATTTGTAAATTTTACAGATTTTAGAAATTCTATAAAAGTTGAAAAAGTAAGGTATTTCGAAATTCCCAAAATTTAAAAAATTACAATTTTTGTATAAGATTAAAATTTTTTTAAAATTTCGGAATAAAATTTTTACAAATTTTGTTAAATTCCCAAAATTTTTTCAAATTTAAAAAATTGCAAAATTTTCTAATTTCCGAAATTTTCAGAATTTCCAAAATTTAAAAAATTACAATGTTTGTAGAAGATTAAAAATTGCAAAATATTTAAAATATAAAAGGTGAGGTTTTTCAAATTTTAAGAAAAAATTTTCGAAATTTTCAAAATTCATAAAATATTCTAAATCTACAAAATTTCTCCCTGCAGGCATGCTACTAAAACTTTAAAATTCTTAAACAAAAGTTATTTCTAAAATTTCCAAAATTAATGTTTCTAAAATTTCCAAAACATTTTTATATAATATAAAAAAAGGTTTCCAATATTTAAGAAATATTATTATTTCGAAAAATTCCAAATTTTAAAATTACAAAAACACCTAAACCTCAAATTTGTTAAGGGTAGCGTTTTTTTTTGTTTTAGTTTTCTAAATTTTAAAGGTCAATTTTTTTTCATCCTACAAACACAATTTAATATTGTAATTAGATATAAGAGTGCCTATAACCAAAACTTAATCCTACATGGCCTAAAATTAAATAACCTTCCAATTAAAAAATATCCTTTACTATATTCTTTAAATAGTTTGAAGAATGTAGTAAATCATTCTGAAAAATTTATTCCTATTAATAAACTTAATGTATTGTTATTTTACCTTGATGTCGTCGCAGGTAACCTTGGAGGCCTCCAAGGTGATAATGAAATCGATATCGTCGAGAGGGGAGCCCTCCGAAATGCTCAACTTGTACAAAATGCGATCTTCGATTTCCTTCAGTTCGTTTTTCATTTGCGCCATGCTCAAAACGATGCCGCTACGTTGCTCCTCCAAATCAGGACGCTCTTGCATCACCACCAAAGCCAGAAGTTGGTCTTCTAAACCACTAAAAAAGTATATCTTTTATCAAAATATACTCAATATTATTGAATTTATGATTACCTTGGCACTAGTGTGAAGTTTACCACCAAAACCTTGATTGACAATTCAGGCGTAAAAGCTGGGTTCGGAAGTTTGGTGGTAATATACAATCTAAAAAATTTGCATTTAGTGTTTGAATTGCCCAGGCTGTGTTGTTGGCACTTATACCTGAAATTTTCGTCGTAAGGCACAGTTATATCACCGAGCTTTATGACTTTCGTGCCGCTCTGAAAGAACGTTTGTCTTAAAAGTATCGGGTCCAGGGCCGGGTCAAGATCGACACCGACGTTCTCGATCAGAACCGGTTTGCCGAATCTCACTGCAGATTCCATGGTTCGTAGCAGATCCTTATCGGCGAGTTTGCAAATGAAAAGGCCCTTCGTTTTTTCCTTGAAGAAAGCAAAAAAGAAGACCAAGTGGTAATCCAGGGTTTTGTGCAGAAATATTTACCATGGTTTTAATCCACTTGTTAGCTTGACCCTGAGGGTCAATAAATAAAGGCCATCTTCTCGAACACGACACCAAAACCGCATTCTCCGTGGAAAAGTAGTCTCTGGGCAAACCGTCGATTTGCCACGATCTTATTAAAATTGCCTCCCCTATGTTAAATGTTAAAGGTAAACGAAAAAACACTCGTGTCGATCTACTGTTTACCTAGATGAACTATTTGCAATGGAAGTGTTTTTGTGGGTAACGGGGTTAGGACATGATCGGTGTGAAACAACTTCTATTAGGGTAAGTCCGGGAGAGTTGGACCAGTGGGAGAGATGGACCACTGAGCTTAGTTGAAAAAAAGTTGAACAGATGTCATTCGCGGTACTAACTACACGTAATGGAAGTTACTTTATATCAGTCTTGAGAATCTGGTCGTTAAATGCGTGTTAAATAAATATTTGTTAGCGATTAACGTTTAAAGCTACGTACATAATTTTCTGTGTATTTTATTGTGTCATATAGCATCGACTGTAGGTAAGTTTTTGCAAAATAACTGTGCATGATATCGAATATAGGGTCCATGTAGATTACTCTAACCTAAAAACGAAAAATCCAGAATTGCGACTAGGTACTACTGCTACTGCTACTGCTACTGGTCCATCTAACCCAGAAGAGGTCCATCTAACCCAAGAATTTTATTTTTAGTTTTTGTCAATTTAATCTTGTTAAGAGGGAAATTTTTTAGTTTTGTTATTACGAAATAATACTATTTTTTATAATAAATATAACTGCAAATACTCAGACTTTTTCTAAAAATTTTAAATGAACTCTATGACTTTTTATAAAAGTGGTCCAACTATACCGGACTTACCCTATAGGAATTAGTCTATTAGACATTGTTGGAAACAGATGATGGATTCATTCGTGATTCTTTGCATTTTGAATCTTGCAGTTTTCAAAAGGCTGCAGTGTTTTAAAAAATTGTTTGAGAAACGTAGGAAACAATTTTTAATGATAAACTCGAATGTGTAGTTTCCAAGTATGCAATACAAAAGAGCATGTCCAAACCCCATGCTATGCTTCTAAATCATCAGGAAGAAAAAATAAAAAAATCAAAACAGTTTTTTACCCAGTATGGTAACTGCATTGGAGTTGGGTGTGAACGGGATTTCGAGATTCATGACAACGTTGAGCCAATCGTTGAAAAGTCGGCGCCGGTAGTTGTCAGTGAAGGGAGTCAAGTAGGCGACGCAACCCGCGCTTATTAAAATGTCGCCGGTGACGTTGACGACGTTCGCTTCAATGTTTTTTATAGTCTCGATCCACCTATTGAATATTACTAGAATGTTGTAGGAATATAGAAAAAAGCATGTTCATTTCGGTATCTACCATTTGATTTGAGATACAGGTTGTTAAAATGAGTTGCTAGAGAATATTTGAGGCCTGTCATAGCAAAACCGACAATCTCCACTTTTGGTCAAAAATTAGATTTTTGGCATAGACTAATTATCTATAAGATGATAAAGTTTATGTGCTGCTAAAGGAGCTAAATCCTGCCTAAAATCCTATTTTAAAAATGACATTTAGTGCAAAGTCGACAATCTCCACTGATAGATTTGCAGCAAAGTATACAATCTCCAATTCCACCATTAGAAATTAGTAATTTGTGTCACCTGATATCCTAACATTTGATGTTGTAACGTATTTTAGAGATTTAATTTTGTGTTTTTTTTTACTGGTAGGTACATACCTACTGTTAAGTTCTATTGCAGTAAATTGCACTTAAAAATATATTTAAAATACGTATATATAGGTTTTATTGTTTTAAGAATTATAAAAAAAGTTATCTTGTTTATTTTGTGCTATTATTCCATAATAAGACGTAAAGGTAAAGCAAGAAAAGGCTGATAATGTCAAAACATTGCAAGTAAAACATTATGGGGCAAAGTGGGAAGAAGATGATGAGTTGTTGTACTATAAAAACTTTTTTGCACGAGGCAACCTGGTCCCAGATTTAGAAGAAACTCCAGATTTATGTGGTCCAGTTCAGAATTTTCCCAGATTGATTGTATAGTTAAATTTTATAACCATTAAAGGAATAAATATACAATTATTGTTTTGTTTATTTTTCTAAATCTCCTTAAACGTTTACAACAAAATGAGCAATCCCCAGCAATTCATATCAAAGTCAGCAATCTCCAATTTAAAATTACAGATTTCACCTATACTATGCATCCTGGAGACCTTGTAGTTGGCTACTAGACTAACAACAACAATATTTCAATATATATAATATATATAAAAAATGACAAATCTAGAATTTAAAATACCAAAATTCAGATCTACTAGGCCCCCTTCTTTTCAATTTATTTATAAATGAGTTACCCGATTTAATCGCGTGTGATAACCTAATGTTTGCGGATGATCTAAAGCTCTATATGGTAATTAATAACTTTGAAGACTGTGTTAACTTACAAAACCAATTGAAGCTATTAGAAAAGTGGTGTAACACTAACAAACTTGGGTTGAATATCTAAAAATGTAAAGTGTGCACATACACATTAAAAACCAATCCCGTAATTTTTGATTACCAAATTGATAACCAGATTCTTGAGAGATGCACTGAGGTAAGAGATTTGGGTGTTCTGTACGATAGCAAACTCTCCTTCTCTGAAAATGTAGGTAACATATGCGCGTCTGCTCTTCGCATGCTGGGATTCATATTTCGTAATTGCTCCAGTTTCTCTAATTCCGCTTCTCTCAAAACTTTATACTTTTCTCTTGTAAGAAGTAGATTGGAATATGCATCCCTAGCATGGTATCCATATTATCAAATAAACATAATTAAACTCGAAAAAATTCAGAGGCGGTTTATGAAATTTATGTCTTTTAGAGTTGATGGTGTCTATCCAAGGAGGGGCTGCGATCATCGGGAGCTACTTAATAGATTTAATGTCCAGGCCCTTGATGAGCGTAGGTTTTCTTTTTCTGTTGTATATTTATCCAAGCTTGTAAACGGTGTTGTGGATTCTCCGGTTCTCTTATCTCAGTTGCAGTTTTATATTCCCAGAGTAAGCTCCCGTAACCGGATGGTTTTTTATTGTAACTTCTCTCGTACAAACATACATTCAAAGTCGCCAGTAGTAGTAATGTCAAATAACTTTAATGTGATTTCGCCTAATTGTGATATTAATACTATTATATATTCATTCACACTTAACTTACCTCCCATGCATTTGGGGACAGGCCAGAAAATGTGATATTAAGGATTTACAAATTTGTCAAAACAAATCATTAAAAATATTATTTAATAAACCACCTATGGCAAACACAATAGAAATGTACAAAGAACTTAAAATACTTCAGATTCAGGAAATCATTAATCTAGACTCCATGATCTTAGTGTACAAAATAAAAAACAATATTTTAATTACCAAAATTAAGCTGCAATTAAACTGTGATTTACACGAACACAATACGAGGACCAGACAACATTTCCATGTGGTACCAAATTCTTCAAATGTGGGAAACAAGAAGATCTCCTCTCAGGCTGTGATATTGTTTAACCAACTACCAGAAAATATTAAAATGCTTACATCCTTAAAGTTATTTATTCTTAATTTAAAAAATTATTTGTTCTCACTGAGAACTTGACATGTACTAATATATATTCTTTAATTTGTACCTGTTGTAGATGCTTGTAATCTTTTAGGGTTTAATAAATACATTTAAAAAAAAAATCAATTATCTCAATTTACTCAGTTTTAGTCTGACGGGAGATTGTTGACTTTGCTCTGACAGGCCTCATTTTGTCACCTCAATTTTTCTCCAGAAAGTCCGGCAATCAGTCTGACAGCCCTGTTCATCCTCTCCTCGCAGATCTGGATGCTCTGCTCCTTCTCGGTCTTGAAGGCGATTTTGGCGTTGAGCTGCGTCTGCAGCCTGGCCAGGCCGTCCATGATCTCCTGCATCTTGGCCCTGGCCGCGTCCAGCACCTTCTGCGTCCTCTCCAGGTCGTCCCTGGCGTTCTTCAGGGCCGCCTTTTTGGGCGCCACCTTCAGGTTCACGAAGTAGTACTTGAACATGGCGTGTATCCACATGCACAGGCTGGTGCACGCCTTCGACACCTTGGCGATCTTGGCCGGCATGAAGTTCGGATCGTTCACGTACTTGGTGAGCTTCTCGATCATCTCGGCCGTGATGGATTCCTTGTCGAAGTTCATGAGCGAGGCCAGGAAGGCGCCCGGGTCGGCCAGGATGCCGCGGCTCGGCTCCCAGTAGTCGTTCTTCTTCTCGCCGAACTTTTCGCCTGGAACCTAACGGATGGCTTTTCGAGTCGTCCCAAGATGTGCTCAACACAGCAAACGGAAAATTATAGAAGTTTATAGGATGACTCCGCGTTTGAATATCAAATCTTAAAGTTTTATCATAACTGTATTGAATCGTGCTTTGTTTTTATATTTTTCGGCTCTATACCTATGCACGACTATATTTAAAGTCAAACTCAATGGTGTCTTACAAGATACATTATTTTGATTTTCTATATTCAACAGAGAGGTAGAAACTCGACCCTGTCGAATGGTGCAGTCATTTATGTCTCTAGAAATTATTAAAAAAGGGTTCAGTCCAATGGTGCAGCAACTTCGGATTCCTATTCTCCTCATAGACATAGAAACTCAAGCTTTTCGAATTTTACTGGCAATGATTTTCGTTAATGTCCCCGAGAATTATACAAAAACAGCGCAATGCAATATCGCAACGGTTTCGACTTCTCTTTACTCTACCAAGTTATAGAAACTGGAGTCTCTCTAATACTGTTCTAGTCAATATTTCTGAGAGTATAAAAAGAGGGTGTAATATTGCAAGAAGTTTTGATCTTTTGATGGATGCAAGTAGTTTGAATTTTCTCCTTTCTGCATATGATTTTGTTGAAAATAGTTCCTTTCTTTGGTTCCTTTGTCTGATTTTTATTTACCGTAACAACTCAGGTATGTAAAGGATATGATGTTAAGTATATTTATGTATTATATAAAGTACCTATATTTGTATTAAAAATTTCAGAGGTTATGTTGAAAAAATGATCGATATGCTATTAAACTTTAATAATTTAGTAATTAGGTCTGTTGGTAGACCCTGCACTATCTCCACTGGTATATGTTAGTTTTGTAATATTTAAATCTGGTTGATGAAAAAGTACACACCAGTGCAGGTTATTGTAGCATCTACGAACAAATGAATTAATGGCCCATTGGCAATTGTTCCTTTAGGAAAAATATTCAACACAGCTTAATTAATTAATAAAATGAAAAAAATCACAATCATGTCGTATATAGTTTTTTTAAGCATAAAATAATTTTTATATTAATACTAGTTCAAAAGTGAAATAACGACCTCTATACTGTGGAGAGTATTGAAACGCTCGACTGACGAATACAACTCTATACCGTAGGAAGATTTAGAAAACCATATTCAAACGTGGCGTCATCCTATACACCTCTATAATTTTTGTTGTTTGCTGTGAAGACCACGATGCACAAAAAACGGTATACCGTTTTTTGTATGCATATATATATATATATATATATATATATATATGCATATATGCATACCGGTTTTTGTGTATCGTGCTCAAGACGTCTACTTGAAAACATCTCATCCAAAAGACATCATATAATCTTGCCCAAAAAGTTGTCGAAGGAAACTTGTCTTACTTAGGATACGAATTAGTATAAACCCCAATTACCAACCAAGGATATAATATAATATTATTACCTACACCCCAGACAGCATCCAATTCAGAAAGATTTCTGTACGAAGTCTGTTGAAAAACATCTTACCGAGGTCACAATATGACAACTTAGAGAAATAATTTTTAGGAGCTCAAGATTAAGAGTTCTTGATGAATTCATAAATGAGAAGTAAATTTTTTAACATCTTAAAGTATCTTTTTTTCTGACCTCTTATTGAAATCAAAATTAGAAGCTACTAAGGGTATCATAAATAAGACTTTAGTTATATAGTTCAGTATTCTCTTTTCTTACTTCTTACTGAAATCATATTATTAAGTCTTTAAGACGTCAACATGGAGACGTCACATTTATAACATTTTAATGCGATTACTTTCTTCTCACCGCTGTAACTGCTTGTGTTTGATATAAGAAGCGGCGAAGAAGAATTTAGAGCTTGCTCCATACCAAACGGTTTTAGACCTAGGTAAACGGCTACCCGATACTGAGGGGCTCCAAAAGAGCGAAACAGGCCGTCTATCGGTGCCGGTAAAGAGCACGCTTGAATTTAAACAAAAGTGAGACGAAGTAATCGCAATTCCAAAAATAAGCGAATTATTAAAATGATTTTAATAAAAATCAATTCAACAAGTTCGTTTGTTCTATGGTAATTAAACTTGACATGTCAAAATAAGCAACGATCCAGTATGTAATTTTTTCATCAGTATCCTAGTAGTACTTCTATATCCAAAACGGGAAATTCTAAATAAGTCTTTTTATAAGTTTATACAGTAGGACTCTTTAAAATGCTTAATTGCGAAGTCAAAAAAAAGGGTTCCTCAAGAGTTCTTTTTTGAGAAGTCTTGATTAGTTTAATAGGTGGCGCATTCGAAGTCTTAAGAACTTCTTAAAAACTTCTTTCTGATGTTGTATTTGACGTCCAAATCATAAAATAGAGCTTATGCAGACTTAATTAAGACGTCATATTGCTGTCTGGGACATTTTACCATCAAAGGATATTAGATATAAACTAAATTTTACTCCTGCATTAAGTTTTGAAGAGCTATTTAAAACATAATTGAAGAAAATTAAAATGTAAGGTAATATGTGTGGGTGTTAATAAATAAGTAAAAATTTCAAATTAGTCTTAGTATTTAATAAGGCCAATTTAGAATAATTTCTGAAATGCAGGAAATTGTCAGGGAAGTTGAAAATGAAGGATATAAATAAAGTGAAAAAAGTAACCACTTCATACATTTTTAAATTATTTCCATGTTGTTTTTGTTGGTTTGTTCAGTTAAAATTTAAATAATGAACTGCAAACAATGTCAAAATAAGCAATAAATAAAATTTCGTTACTAAATTAATCTAATGTCACTTTCATTTATACTTACTTTGATCGGCTTGACGTTCTTAACAATACAGATGGCCTCCATAACGGTCACGACTCCGACTGGGGGTCTTTTCATTGCCTTCACCTCTGTCACGTCGTTTTTATTAAGGGACCTTAAGCTCGCCTCAGCCGCCATCAATTCGGGTAGTGCCTCGTCTGCAAATTAATTAAATTTATTTAATTCAATAAATTTATTAAATTCATTAAATTTATTAAATCTATTAAATTTAAAAATGTATTAAGTCCATTCAAAATTAATTTTTTTTAATTTCAAAATTTTAAAATTAAACCTTAAGTTGGGGGTATTTATTAAATTATTTAAATTCATTAAATTTATAAAATTCATTTAATTTATAAAATTCATTCATTTCAATAAATTTATTTAATTCATCAAATTTATTAGATTTTTTAAATACATGAAATTTTTTAAATTCATTAAATTTATTAAGTTTATTTAATTCATTAAATTTTTTAGTTCTTTTAGTCACATTAAATTTATTAAATTCATCCAATTTATTAGAGTTTCTTAATTTATTAAATTTATAAAATTCATTACATTTATTAATTTCATTAAATTTACTTAATTTAAAATTAATTTTTTTTTAATTCCAAAACTTATCAAAATTTTAAAATGAAACCTTAAATTTGGGGTATTTATTTAAATTATTAAACGTATTAAATTATTTAAATTCATTAAATTTATTAAATTCATTAAATTGATTAAATTTATAAAATTCATTCAATTCATTAAATTTATTTAATTCATAAAATTTATTGGATTTTTTAAATAAATAAAAAATTTTAAATTCAGTTTTTTTTATCCCATTAAATTTATTTAATTCATCAAATTTGTTAGGATTTTTAAATTAATTAAATTTATTAAATTCATTAAATTTATAAAATTCATTACATTTATTAAATTCATTAAATTTATTTAATTTATTAAATTTATAAGATTTTATAGTCACATTAAATTTATGAAATTCATTAAATTTATTCAATTCATTAAATTTATCAAATTCATTACCTTTTTTATTTTTTAAATTTATTAGATATTTTAAATTCATTAATTTCATGAAATTTATTAAGTTTAATTATCAGTTTTTTAAAATTCATTAAAATTATTTATTTGATTAAATTTATTAGATTTTTTGAATTCATTAAATTTATTAAATTCATGAAATATATCAAGTATATTTAATTCAATAAATTTATTAGATTTTTTGAGTTTAATAAATTTATTCGTTTTAAATTGATAAAATTTATTAGGATTATTTATTTCATTAAATTTGTTAGTTTAAATAAATTTTTTAATTCATTCTATTTATTAGATTTTTTAAATACAATTAATTTATTAAATTTATGAAATATTTTAAATTCATCGAATGAAAATAAATTAAAAAAAAATCATGTAATTTATTAGATTCATTAAATTCATAAAATTTATTAAAAATTTTAAATTTATTAAATTTATCAAATTTCTTTCATTTATTTAAATTTGGGGTAAGGCTTATTTATTAAATTTATTAAACGTATTAAATTAATTAAATTTATTAAATTCATTAAATTTATAAAATTCATTCAATTCATTAAATTTATTTAATTCATCAAATTTATTAGATTTTTTAAATTCATTCAAATAATTTTAAATTATTAAATTAATTAAGTTTATTAAATTTAATTATATTTTAGGCAAAATTTTGTACCCAAGTCTCTCTGAGCATCCGAAGCGATATTCTCCGTTTCCAAAGCTTTTTTAGATGCCTCTTCTTCCTCCTTCTCTACAATTTCTTTAGTTTCTTCAGCAACAATCTGTAAAAAAAAGAAAATTTGATTTTGATAAATGTTAATTAATCAGATATAAATTAAGGTATTTGTTAATACTGTATCTTGAGCTATTTGCGCGATCATTATATCTGCGTCCTTGGCTGCAATTTCCAGGGCTGGTTTCATTTCTTTCAGGTTTACTTGAAGAACTTTTACTTCCTCCTGGGTTATTTGCAGCTTCTCCAAACCTTAATGAGTAAAAGTAAGGGAAATATATTAACAAATGGTCTCCTTTTGTAAATCAAAAATGCAAAACAAACGTATACCGATTTTAAGTCGGCCCACGCCTTCAGTAAGACTGCCCTTCTTCTTGTTGAGCAGCTCAATGTAGCTGGACAGCAGCTCCAAGTAAGAGGTGGGAGTGACGTAGTTCGTGCGAGACAGCTCCTCTTTGAACCGCACGCTAGCTTTCACCACGCTCGCGTGCATGTACTGAAACACGTTCACTATCCCCTCCATTATATTCTCGGACACGCTGAAGTCTTGGATCTCCTTCATGAAGCGCATCGCGACCGACTGAAATACGATTAGTTTGCAGTTTGTTTTTTTTTAATGTTTTTTTCTCACTTGCAAAGCAGAATCAGGCCAAGCACTAAACCAGTCGATTGTGCAACAGTTTACCAAAGCAGGAAACTGTCTTAATCTTGCTCTAAATATTTCTCCAATGGGGCTAAAAATTGTTTTTAGTTCAGAAAACACACGAGGTAGTAAAGTTTGTTAGGCAATTTTAAGTGTAAGTGCGCAATTAGGGTCCACCCTGATAGCACAGTTTATTCTAAGAATGTTTTTTAAACCTTCCAGTGAGAATATTCTTAGGTTCATGCTATATTTCTTCTAGTCATGTTCTAAGAATGTTTTTAAACCTTCCAGTAAGGATATTTTTAGGATCATGCTATATTTCTTCTAAAGAACATGCTTAAAAGAAATATAGCATAATCCTAAGGCCTATAGGCAGGTTCTTAGAAGGTGCAAAGTTTAGTGGTAAAAATTAATCCACTCTAAACATATGCTTAGAATGTTGAGAAAGTAATTGCTATAGAAAGTTCATTTAGGAATATTCCTGGAACATTCTGTTAAGCATATTCAGTTCAGTTAGGTAGCTATATAATAGAGCCATTCCATGCCAAATCAACACACTTTAAAAATAAATTTTTCCTCACCATTTCAGATTTTCCTAAAATTTGGTATACTTATACTATGTACTAAGACTAAGAAAAATACCAATTTTTAAATTTTTATCTCACACCGTTTCCGATATATGGCTATGTAAAGTTTTTAAAAACTCGCGAAAAAAGTGTGAACGTTTATTTTTTAAATTGCGCTGGAAGCTGTCCTAATTTAGTTAGAAAGCTGGGAGAGGTGTCATTTTGCAGCATTTTAAATGCTCTTTCAAATGACATACGACTGCCAAGGGTATTAATGAAAAGATTTTGTTCAAAATCCATGTATATATTTTGATTCAATTTTTTTTTTTAAAGTACATAATTTAAAATTCTCAAAATATTTGTATAAATACTTGGTAGTGTTCTGAATCATATAATAAAATATTAATGTGGGGTCTTAATGGGTTCATTGTTAAAAAAAATATTTCTGATGCTGGTTTTTCACTTTTAACTAATTTTGACATTATTCAACGTTTATCAGGCTTAAGCCTGACAATTGTATTTTTTTTTATAATGTCGGCTGTCATCATTTCCGACTTGTGTAATTTAATTACTGTGATACGCTTGTTTTGGCGATTCATATTGAACTAAATTTTAAACAAAACAACATAAAATGAATATTTTCAAAAATATAAGGGTTCTAAGAACCCTAATAATATCGGCTGCCTACATTCCCGACTTTTTTTAATTCAATTACTGTGATACGCTTTTTTTGGGGATTCATATTGAACTAAATTTTAAACAGAACAACATAAAATGAATATTTTCAGAAATGAAAGGGTTCTAGGAACCTGCTCGAGCAAACAATTTCCGCGAAAACCTTATTGATAAATTTTAAACTCGCTTAAAAAAAAATTCAGGGAACTTTTATCGGACCCTGTATATATTCGTAGTTTATTTAAAAATAAAACTATAAATGAGGTGTGTTTAAAGTGATTTTGGTGTCAACATGGAGCCTACTATTGTAAGAGTGCAGTGTTATAATCCAATGAAAAAAACAAATCATTTTTTTTTTAACATGAACCCATTAAGACCCCACATTTATATTTTACTATATGGTTTAAAACAGTACTAAGTATTTATACAAATATTTTGAGAATTTTAAATTATGTACTTTTTGAAAAAAAATTGAATCAAAATATATATATGGATTTTGAACAAAATCTTTTCATTAATACCCTTGGCGTTCGTATGTCATTTGAAAGAACATTTAAAATGCTGCAAAATGACACCTCTCCCAGCTTTCTAGCTGAATTAGGACAGCTTCCAGAGCAATTTAAAAAATACACGTTCACATTTTTTTCGCGAGTTTTTAAAAACTTTACATAGCCATATATCGGAAACGGTGTGAGATAAAAATTTAAAAATTGGTATTTTTCTTAGTCTTAGTACATAGTATAAGTATACCAAATTTTAAGAAAATCTGAGGTGGTGTGGTAAAATGGGTGTGTTGAGTTGACATGGACTGACCCAATAGTAAAATATACCATAAACTACGTATAAAGGTATACTTATACCCATACTTAAGTACCTAATTAGTAATTATAGTATTAAATACTAAGTAAAAAACACAACCCAAAATATTTTTTTATAGTTATTTGTCAAATTAAATCAATATTCGATAACAAAAACACTTTTACTATAGGTATCTAAATTCCGGCCTTTACATAAAATCTTCTATCCAATGAAAAATGTTTTTTTTATGAAGAACTATTTGGTTTTTTCTTTTATGAAGAATTATTTTATAAGGAAATATTTTGTTTTTTATATTTTATTTAATGTTAAAAATAAATATTTATTAATAAAAATCGGTTTACAAATTAATTAATTTGTAAACCGATTTTTTATTTCTGAATTAACATTTTTATGTATAATAATCCTATTACTAACTATCTTCAACTTCAATCTAATCTGACTTATCCTACAAAATTTTCCAATTTTACTTTTTTGAAATAATGTCATACAATTTATGGTTTAGAGGTCAAATTGTTTATTTAATATTTTTAAATAAATATATATTAATATGTCGCAAAATTTTTTAAGGGGACGACAAATACATTTCACTGTCATATTATGACAGTGAGGCGTATTTGTCGCCTCCTGAATAATTTTATGTAAAGGGTGGGCCATTTATTGGTTTGTTTTTAAAAACGCTATAAAATGAGTCTAAATCAATATTTTAAGAACATTTTTTTTTATTGTGAACGTTGAAGTCTCCGATTTAAGAATTAAAAACAATTTCATTCATGTGACTTCCTCTGCTGGCCCTACAGTAAGCCATCCTGTGTGTCCAATTTTGAAGCACTTTTTCCAGGATTTCGCGCCTATATCGCCAATAACAGTTTCAATGTTATGTTTTAAAGCTGGAATTGTCTCTGAATTGTTCGCATAACATCTGTCCTTAACGAAACCCCACAGAAAAAAATCTAACGGCATCAAATCACAACTCCGTGCATGCCAATTGACATCTTCAGAACGGCTGATTATTCGGTTGTTAAATTTGGTGCGCAAGAGATCGATTGTCAGTCGGCTTGTATGGCATGTGGCCTTGTTGAAACCAAAGATCGTCTACATTCATGGCGTCGATTTGAGGCCATAAAAAGTTGGTCAACATGGCTCTGTAACAGTCGTTATTGGAGGTAACGGCTTTTCCAGCAGTATTTTCGAAAAAAAAAATGGGCCAATTATGCCACCACTCCAAAATCCACACCAAACTGTCACTTTTGGTGAATGCATTGGACTCTCTACGATTACGTGTGGCTATTCCGTACCCCAAATCCGGCAATTCTGCTTGTTTACATAGCCCCCGAGATGGAAATGAACTTCGTCTGAAAAAATGATTTTTCGACCAAAACTGACGTAATTGTTGAACTGGTCTGTGGCTCACACAGCGATCTGATATCGAAGCAGATGGTCATTTGCTTTTAACTCCTGAGTCATCTGGACCTTGTAGGCGAATAATCCTAGGTCTTTGTGCAGTATTCTCCTCAGACTAATGGCCAGTTGCTGCGATCGGCGTCGAGTTGAGAAAGATGGATTTTGTACCACACTACGGGACACAGCCTCAATATTCTCAGGCGTACGCACTGTCCGAGCTCAGGGACCTTTTCTGTTATCTAATAGCAAGCCTGTCTCACGAACTTTCTTCACCAATTTCACTATAGCAGTTCCCCTTGGCGCTCTTTCACGACCCATAATTCTTTTCAAAATTCGCACGGTTTCGGCCACACAGCACTGACTTTAAAAATAAATTTTCAATATTTCGAAGCGCTCCTCAACCCAAAACATGATTGTTTCGTGCCGCAGAATCTCAGAATGGCAAGCTGTCAAAATTTAAAACAAATCGGTGCATCGAGTGTTGCCATGGGCAATGTTTTAAAAACAAACCAATTAATGGCCCACCCTTTAGAATGTAGAATCCAACCAGTGTTACCAGATTCTGTCAAAAAAAGACCGTACGTTTCGTTCGAATTTACCTTAAGTACAAAAATGACTCAATGGACAATATTAAATAACGTCAACTTGACATAATTGCATTTATTTGCATTGTTTCATTGTGTCATTTTGCAATAAAGGTAAATTCGAACGAAACGTACGGTCCTTTTTTGACAGAATCTGGTAACACTGAATCAAACATATTAGAACGTGGGTATCTGACATATTTGGAAATATTCTCAAAAGCTTCCTAGAAGCTCCATAAGAAACCTTCTAAGAACATTCCAAAAACGTATTCTTAAAATGTTCTTAGAATACTTTTTAGGAAGGTTTTCAGAAGCTTCTAAGAATCTAATTGCTTCATTAAAAGGGTATCTATTGAATGTTTTAAAAGTCCCTAAGAACATTCTTAGCAATAAGGGAAGGTTCTAATAATATTCCATTATTCCGGGTCATATCTTCTTGGAAGATTCTTGGAATCAAATTTTGCTATCAGGGCAGGGCCACTACCTGTGCAGGTAAACCAAGGTAAGTGTCTCCGGATTTCTTACAGAATCAGCAAAGCACTAATACCATTGAGTAAATGCTAATACAGTAGTGCAGTGCAATACAACAAGTGGAAATTGTAATCAGTTACACTACCTATACAGGTGAACTAAATGTACCAGTCTCCCAAAGAGAGGGTCAAGTGTTCAGTAGCAAGTTGCAACAAAAGTTCAATAGCTTTAACCCGCATGATTTAATTTGCATTTCCTACTAAGTAAGTAATCTTGCATTTTCTCGAAGGGGTTAAGCTTCTTCAACGCTCTAAACCAGGAAAACAAAACAAGAAAAAAAATCTTACACAACAGCAAACGTCGTTTAAATAAATAAAGACCATTAAGGACAGGTCCAAGCACCCTGATAGCAGAATTTGATTTTAAGAATCTTCTAAGAAGATATGACCCGGAATAATGGAATATTCTTAGAAGCTTCCCTTATTGCTAAAAATGTTCTTAGGGACTTTTAAAACATTCAATAGATACCCTTTTAATGATGCAATTAGATTCTTGAAAGCTTCTTAAAACCTTCTTAAAAAGCATCCCAAGAACATTTTAAGAATACGTCTTTTGAGAATATTCCCAAATATGTCAGATACCCCCGTTCTAATATGTTGTATTCTACATTCGTAAAATTCTTCAGGAGACGACAAATACGCCTCACTGTCATAATATGAAAGTGAAATGTATTTGTCGTCCCCTAAAAAAATTTTGCGACATATTAAAATATTTATTTAAAAATATTAAATATATATATATATATATATATAAGTTGTATGACATTATTTCATAAAAAGTAAAATTGGAAAATTTTGTGGGATAACTCAGATTAGATTAACTTTGAAGATGGGATTATTATACATAAAAATGTTAATTCAGAAATAAAAAATCGGTATAAGTATTTTTGTTATCGAATATTGTTTTAATTTAACAAATAACTATAAAAAATATTTTGGATTGTGTTTTTTACTTAGTATTTAATACTAATTACTAATTAGGTACTTAAGTATGGGTATAAGTATACCTTCCCATGGGAAAGTATCGTCTAGAATTTTTTTGACGATCCTCTTTTATTGACGATATCATCAAATATTGATGACATCGTCTATAAGTTGGTATAGGTATATAGAAGCTAAAAATCTATAAAAAAATATTTTTTATGACAAAAGGTCCCTTTTATTTAAAAAATATTAAAATGGGGGGTCGGGTTAAAGTGAGTTAAAATTAATTTAGCTTAATTTTAAGAAATTATTCTTTTTTCTTATTTATTTTCAACCATTAACAATTAGTACTTAAAATTCGACGAATGACGATTACATATATGTAAATATGTATTTAAAAGACAATTGTGATATATCAAATTGTCTTTTAAATACTTATTTTTAAAACAATGTCTTTTATAAGCGATCGTCATTGAACGAATTTTCGTCTTTTTTGACGATCTTAGACGATACTTTCCCATGGGTTTATACGTAGTTTATGGTATATTTTACTATTATATAGGTAACTGAACTAAATATGCTTAACAGGAATATTCCTAAATGAACTTTCTATAGCAATTACTTTCTTAACATTCTAAGCATATATTAGAGTAGACTAATTTTTACCACTAAAACTTTGCACCTTCTAAGAACCTGCCTATAGGTATATAACTATATATAGCATGATCCTAAGAATATTGTCACTGGAAGGTTTAAAAAACATTCTTAGAATAAAGTGTGCTATCAGGGCAGCGAACTAACCATCCAAACCCCATTCACGAACCCCAATTGAACGGGGGTATTACTAAATCCCTGGTTTAGGGGGGGAAATATTTGAAGTTTGAAAACTTAGATAATACATTATAAGATCTCATCTTTTGTTCCTACCTCATTGTGATAACAGTGTGCAAATTGGCTCTAACTTGTTTCGTGTAAACAGCGAACAAGTTCGACTTTGTGGCCGGCAAACCGAGTTCTTGCAGATCGCCCTTCATGCCCTGGTATATTCGATCGAGTTCCTCGACCTGATACACGTTGGGCACGTCTCCGGAGTTCAGAATGTTGTTTATGTCCTCCAAAAACGATTCGGACTTTATCTAAGGACGTGCGTCATCAATGAAAAGCATTTGCGTCGGCGTTGCACTTACTTGCGTGTCGGAAAATAAAAACACGGTTTCTATTTTGTTCAAGCCCGCGTTAAGCATGAGATTCTTGAGGTCGTCTTTGAACTCGTTGTTTCCGTAAGTTTTGCTGAGTTCTATTTGGAAGCAATTATATTCAGCCATGAACGCAGAAAGTTTCGTTAAACTTTGTCGACCTTAAACAAATCGTATTCTAAGTAAACACCCTACACAGAGAAGAATTTGTTGGATTTGGTTTAATAATTTTATCAATTTGTTCAACAAGCTGGTGCTAAACCGGAACAATTTGTGGTAAATTGTAGCAAATAATTATTTGCTTATAATTGTAGTAAACTTACATAATTTATTTGACATTTGAACATATTTTAATCTAATTGGCTCATATAATTTATTTAAGTAAATGAGGATTTTAGAGACGTTTTTAATATAATACTTTGAGGTGAAATTGCACAAATTGTGGCACATTGTTTAATAATAATTTCTCCAATTTATTTAAAAATTTTAATAACTTTTGGGATGCGAGGGTAGTAAAAAGGAAAATAAAACTAAATTATTAATTTAGATACCTATATTAGGGTGTCCCTTATTTTTATTTTTTTTACGCATACCCTCTAATTATATTTATTACTTGTTTATATACTCCCAGTAAAAATTTCAGTTCATTCTATAAACGGGAACCCGTGCCGACTTGCATCTAAACCCTCCGTTAGCCAACGTTAGGCGCGCGCGGTATTTTGTAACACGAAACACTTTAAAAAGAAGATATACTTCATGACTGTATTTTTCTAATGATTTTATTAAATATGATTATTAATTAATATTATTGCTTTTGTTTCTATCATTTGTTTCACTAATTTAGTTGATTTTATCCCTTAAATATATTAATATACTAATTAGTATTGCTAAATTATACTGTTATATGAAATTTCAGCTTTTTATAAGCATTTCTTTTCTTGATGTCCTACCAAAAATATTTCAGACAGTTTAATAGGTTTTCGGTAGTCATCTCTCACAATAGACTCTTTTAGTTATTTAGAGTAAAACCCATTAAATTTATCAATTTCAGAGTTTACGGCCTATTCACCAGACCCTTCCAGGTAACTAGCCACTCCCTGTAAAAATATACATTTTTATCAAAGTATACACATAAATAAAACTATAATTTAACATTTGTCAATAATTTATAATATAAGGGTCACATAATAACAAACACAAAATGACTTACGATCGAAGACCTCGCGACCAACCGTGTTACAAAATACCGCGCGCATAACGTTGGCTAACGGAGGGTTCAGATGCAAGTCGGCACGGGTTCCCGTTTATAGAATGAGCTGAAATTTTTACTGGGAGTATATAAACACGTAATAAATATAATTAGAGGGTATGCGTAAAAAAAAATAAAAATAAGGGACACCCTAACCTATATATTCAGCGACTTATACCAAAAATATGGAAAATAGAATACCTAAACTTAATATAAACTGACACTACCAACATAAAATAAACATAACAAAACATAAACTACCAACTGAAAAATAAAATTCGTGTAGCTAATTCTAATAATATTAAGATATTATTCAACATCACTCCACTTATATATAATAGTACAAATGTCGATAGATTAAATATGTATTCAGCGACCAGCACAAAAATTTTGTAAGGATAGAATTATAAACTAAAAACATATAATAAACATAAATTACAAACTAAAGTAAATAGGAAGCTGATCAATAATGTAGCTCAGTTACTGAGCCTCAGTAGGAGCATAGAAACATTTTTTATCCTCATTTGATCACCAGGTCATAATTATTGATTTATCTCAGTCCCTGAACAATTTTGCAAATAACTACCTAATCGGAAAAATAATATTCAATAATAACTTACCAGAAATGTGGTACTAACCCCACAATGATACACTTTCTAACACTAACTAAAACTGCAAACTGATGATACATATTGCAGTTGAGCGACCGGCCGGCGTCTTATTTCAAGCGGGAAATCATTTCGTTGGTTATCTTAGGTGGTGTGATGCTTCAATCCCGAACAAATTGTCCAATATTGTAAAATTTACATTCTAACTCAGTTAGTTAGTTTACTATATTTATACGAATTATTTAAAAAATTGCACAAAAGATTAAGATTTATTTTTGATTTTTGACTTTAACTCTTTTCTTGACAATAATGTGCAAATGGTTAAATATAAAATCTTACTGTTTCGATCATATTAAAGAAAATTGACTGAAAAAAACGAAGAAAAACTATCTTGGATAACTTAGCACATTTATAGAAAATTATGCTCCAATGGCGGATTTTTCTCTGTGTATGTAGGTATATCTCAAAAATAAAACGTAAATCCAATTAAGAAGCACCCTGTGTAGAGATAAACTTATTTTATTATTTTTACCTGAACCTCCCATACCAAGCATTAACCCATTGCCCATTGGTTGCCGAATTATTCTAGAAATTCTACAAATATGGGACATGGCGTCCAAGAAGAGCACCAATTTCATGGGGCGCGTACTTTGTGCATTATACTCATCTAAATAGTAATTCAGAGATTTTTCCAACTAAAATACGTATAATATTTAATTTAGTACATTTTAGAAACAATCAAAAGTATGAAACAAATTCGTTGAAAAACTTGGCTTTTTTTCTCAAAAAAAAATTGGAATTTTTTGGGAAAAAAGGCACACTTGTTCGATACTTTTGCCGGTCATTGTAGATATGCTTACTTGGGCAAAATTCGTGATTAGTACATAGGGTGCGCTGTCAACGGTTGGGTCCAAAAAGTCACCGAACAAAATAGTTTTGCTTCCCAAGACCGTCACCGCATCTAACTTGAAATTATTTGCGATTTTATCGCGCAGCAAATTGTTGAACCACATTCTATCTTCGTCGTTCACCAACCGATCTTGGTAGACGCGGCAGTTTTCGTGATACCAAAGCTTCAAAATATCGTTGACATCCTAAAAATGATTGTCACTATTTGCCTGCTCTCGGTCTTTGGAGTGATTTACTTTGATTGTCTCGGGATCGAACATCAACATGCCTTGAAAGACTTTGCTCAGATCGCGCAAATTAAAGGTGTAATGAGTTTTAGCGGGCGTCGGCAAAAGCTCGGCCAGTATCGTCGTGAAGACGTCCAACGTCGACAGCAACACGGCGTCGTAGTGTTTGTTCAGGTTCTGTTTCGTCCTGTCCAACCAAAACTTCAGAATCGTACCGAAAATCGTCCTCTAAATTGAAGTTTACCCAAGAGTTATTTAAGGGAAATTGTTAAGCTATAGCTTACAAGCTCCCTGGCGAAAATGACATGTGCAGAAAGTGTGCAAAATGATTTGAGAAGAATGTGACAACAATGTGCAATCTTTTAAAAAAATGATGTGCGGACGGTGAGAAAAGGAACATGAAACAATGTGCAAAACCAAAAATTTTAAAAGTGTGAATAATCACTGGACAATGTTCTTTGCACACTGTTTCTTGTCACCTGTGTGCCTATTACAAAACAGATTCTTTTTGGTGATCTATAAAGTCTTTTAAATTTACACATAATTGAAATATAAATATCCTTATAATAATATTAATCAAATAAATATTTTTTTCAAAAAAAAAGAAAAAAAATCCACAATGTAGGTCCTACATACTGTATTTTATTAAGAAAAATTCCTGCACTGTCAACTCCACGAAGGGGATTGTTTTGATGTTGACAATAGGCCGACAAGCGATACATAAGATGGAATCTACCTCACCTTTTAAATAAATGTTATACCCCAACTCAAGCGAGATATATCTAAAATGTGCTTAAACTGTTGAGTGATCGCTAAAACTGTACAAACAATGTGCTATAAAAAGGTGTAATATAAGCGTCATAAATGAGAAATATTAAAGCGTGCTAACAGTGTGTATAAAATGTGACATGCGTAAGATAGACTGAAGCTTTGCAAAATGTCTTTAAACAATGTACTAACACTGTGCAAACAATGTGCTAAAATAAAATGTAATATAAGCGTGACATATGACAAATAAAAAGCGTGATGTCAATGTACATAAAGAGTGAAAAAACTTAATTATTTCAAAAAGTGTGAAATTACCACAAAGTAGCGTGTATGCACATTGTTATAAAGACTTGCACTCCAAATACACACTTATTGCACACTTTTCATGCACGCTTTATTTTCGCCAGGGCTTCATGAGATCAAGACGCGATAGCTCTGCCTTTAAGGAATATGAAGTAAAAGCTGCTGGTTAGCTGGTTCTGATTGCACAAGGTATGAGATTGAAACACAGCCATCGTTTATCAACTCTTGACTGTGTTCATGCACCAGAAGTTTCGAACACAGAATTTGAGGAATGAGGCACAAATCTAAGAAACAAATAAAGATATTCTTTTTACCTTACTTTCGTCCTCCATCTCGAGAAAAGTCAAGTAATGAAAATGTCGCAACAAACGCGCCGTTACGGGGTTTCTGCCGCCCCCTGGCGGGCCCATGGCGGCGGCGAAATTAACGTCAATTATTGTGCGAAAGTCTCCGATGTTTTTCCTGTCATACCATCCTGGAAAAAATATAAAACGACGTAAGTGTACCTAATCGGATTCATCCACGTCAACTTTTATATACATTTTGTATAAATAATTTGTGGAGCAATCAGACAAAAGCAGATAAATCCGTTTTAAGCAGTTTCGAGTTATTAGCGAAAAACAAATATTTTTCGTTCTGCAACATTTTCACAAAGAACAACCCATGAATTCTATAGAGTATAGTTAGTATAAATTAATTTTTTTATTTTTGTCCACCTGCATCATGTGTTATGGTAAAAAACCAAAATGGATTTATCTAGTGTTGCTTGAATTGACAGGATTTATCTCCATTTGTTTGAAATAAGAATAAAAAACCGTTTTATTCATTGACCTATACAGGGTGGTCCAGGATTAATCTGAAAAATGTTAATGCCATTTAAGTTAATTTAAAAAAGCAATAATGTTATTTTTATTATTTTTATTGAAACAAGACTTTAAATTGTATTAATTTGGATTTATCTGCTTTTGCTTGATTTGCTAGGTTTCGAGACCGGTATTCTATATCAATTACTTGGTTTAGCTCAATTCTGAGTTCACCAATGGATTAACCTTACCTCATTTACTGTTAGTTCATAACTCATTTTTTAACAAAACTGGATTTATCTGCTTTTGTCTG